AGGGCAAAACCCCCAAACCATCAAATGGAAAACTCCCCCAAGTGGCTATGCAAGACACACCTCGACTACCAAGCTCAGCTCATCCCAAACTGCTCCAGAGAATAAGCATTAAAAGCAGTTTTAACCCTAGTATGTCTGTGAAAATGTGTCTCAGACTATTTTTATGTTTATACTTATGAAAAATTAGAATTTTAATTTGACTGAGTAACCTCTCATTTAGAGGTTTGCTTGCCCACAGGCCACAGGCTTCATACCAAGTCAAACCCTGCTCTCAGACCAAGTGCCCCAGCTCCCAACCCCGGCAGCCTCACAGAGTGAGCTCTTCCCAGCTGTGCAGCCAAGAGCCAAAAGGGCCCAGTGCTCCCAAACCAGCCCAGTGAAAGGTTCCCTCCCGTGCACACCTCCTCCAGCTCGCCAAGGTCTCTCACAGAACCTGCTCTTGCTTCCACTCAGTTCAGCGAGAGTAGGAGCAGCCCCAAGTCTAGTCATAGTACAAGATTTTATTGCTGTCATGATAATTAATGACTACTTACACTGAGATTTTAATGACTACCTGCACTTTTTTTTGTTTCCTTCCTAACTGGGTCATAAAGGAGGAGTCCTGGATTTGCAGTACAACAGGGACCTCTACAGGCATTTACCTGCTCCGAGCAAGGCTCGGGAGAGCTAAGAGCAGCCACACCATAGCTCAGTGACACACAGACCGTGGGGCAGACAGCACTGGGTTCTGTGCCAGCACTCACTGAAATCAGCAGGGCTGTCAGCACCCTGCCTATGACAAGGCCAGAGCTGACTGAATCCAGCCTTCAGATGATTCATCTGCATCCTGCAGCATGTCCAGTTTCAAACACTTACACTTTGCCACAATACTTTTTGGAATAGCTCTAAAACTTAAAACACAAACAGAAAATCTGCACTCATATCACACGAGAGAACTGAAATGAACATTCAAAAAGAAACTCGTGCTGTTTGTCACCCAAGTTGCATTTTACCAAATCTGACCTGTCTTTCCCCTCTTTTGTTGTCTCTATCAACACTTACTGTGTTAATGATCTACCCAAGAACCACTCCTTAAAAGAACTCACAGAAGAATAATCTGCTTTTAAAAAAAGTTTGATGTCTCTCTATCATGTGACCTTAATTCCTCCTTGCTTTAAGTTCTTCACAGAACATCGTTCTTAAAGCCTTGCTTCCTTGGGATGGTCTAAAGGCAATCCATTAAGAACTGCAACCTTCAGGGGTGACAGGAGATATTCTGAACTTAATTGTGAAATCAATTACATTGCCAAATTCTTGTGGGATGCTTTGCCACCTACAGTGTATTTCATGAACCAGAAATGAAATAAAACATATAATGGGTGTAAAGAATTACAAAGCTCTAAGATATTGCTGAGTGGAAAATGACTTTTTGGGTCTGATTTTTGGTTTGGGGTTTTTTTGGAGGGGGGAGAGAGTTGGGGTGGGGTTTTGTTTTGGTTTCTTTTTCTTGCCTGAAGTTGAGAGGCATTAGGAAGTAAGCAGTTCCACAGCTAGTTCTTAGTACACAAACACAAGGCAGGACTGCACTGCTGCAGCAGCATGAATCAGAATTGCACTTTTACTGTAAGTGGCATGGAGAAGGCCTGCTGTGTCATTATCCAAATAGACTGTGGGTTACTACGGATAAGAGAAAATCTCCAAGGAAAAGCTGTCTCCCACCTGCCTGCCAGCCACTGGCGTGCCCTGGCAGGCACACAGGACAGGGACATTGTTCACCCAGATCATCAATCCAGCTCCTTACACTTCCCTCCAAAACCAAAGGTAGTGTCTTTAAAGCCATCTTTTTCCCAGACTCGCATCTCACTGTTTGAAGCAGACCTTGCTGGGATCAGGGAAACTGCAGGCCACCCACACACCTGATCAGAAAATGGGAGTTGAACTCAGGGAAGAAGTTCAGTGGCAGCCCAGCACACCTGCAGAGTGGCTGCAGATGCCAGTGAAGCAGGTTCAGGGCTGGATGGCTTAGGGGCAAGTCAGCTTGAGAGATGGGCTGCAGGAAAAGCCAGTGTGGTTCCACCAGTCTGGCTCATTCACAGGGCAAGTGCTGTGTCCTTCAGAAAGGAAGACACTGGTCCAGCTTGGCCCTGCTGAGCTGTTGCTCCTCACAGCTGAGGCAGCCCTGCCTAAAAGTCACACAAACGCAGGGGCTCCTCTTGAAATGACAGTTTTTGGCACGTGCAGCCGGAATGGGAAGGAGAAGCTTACAACTCTCTTAATTACGCCACTACAGAAAGAGTCTGAGCCTGATAAATGAGCTAGGAAAGATGATCCTGATCCTTTGACGGGCCAGTTCTGCAGGAAATTCAGCACTGTAAGCAGCAACACACCATTCCAGGCTGGCAGCATCTGTCACTTATCAAGGCAGGGCTCAGCAGGGCTGACTCCTTGAAGTGATCTGAGGCCATGCAGGTTCCCTCAGCCAAACTGCACCATGAGTCAGTCCTGCAGCCATGCCTCACACACAGCTGGGGCTGCTCTGAGGCTCTGCTTCTGCAGGATGGGCACACAGCACCCAGGTGGTGAGGAACCCAGCGCTGGAAGCCATGACACCACTTGGAGAAAGAAAACTAAGATAAATCAAACATCTTCTTTTCCTTCCTGCCTTCCTTCCCTTCTTCCCATCTTCATCTTTCCATTTATTCTCATTCTGCCCTGACACAAAGTCTCATTCTGCATGGCACGGGTTTATCTGTGTTTCACTCTCCAGTTTTTCTTCCACTAGCAAAAAAATATCAGCAAACTCTCACTTCCAAAGCTGCCTTGGGCCTGAAAGCCAACTACAAAAAGATATTTTACTATTTAGTCTCCTGCTAAATTGTGAAGCAATTAAATGTCAAGCAGAACTTCCTTTTCATGTATCTGTAACTAAACATTGAAAAAATCAGGTCAGTGTATGCTGCTGTAGGTACAAAATGGCTCACTGCAAAGAGTAAATACCACTGAAGAGGCACTTGCATATCCTGCAGGGCACCTGCTTGGCCTCTGGTACACAAAGGGCGTAACAAACATCAGTAAGAGAACATGCAAACAAAATGCATTTCTCTCCAACAGTTTTCTCTGGGCAAGGTGAAGTCCAGTAGCTCAGAACTTCTGTGACAAGTACCCCCCGAGGCAGTTGTGAAGGGGGTGCATCTGCTCCAAGACAGCCTCTGCCACGGAGAAGGGCTGGTCCTTGGGAAGTGGATCCAACACCGCAGGTGAGAGCGCAGGAAGAGACCATGCACTGGGGAGAGGGAGATGCACTCATGTGACAAAAGCTCCAAGGCTTTTCATCCTTTGTATATTCAGCTCTACAATTTTCTCCAGAGACCAAGGAGAAAGATCTCTCACTTGTGTCTTCCTAATAACGTGCACATTTTAAATTCCCATGTGAGATGGGTGAAGGGTGGGTTTTGTTTGTGAGGATGTGCAGACTCTAATTTACACCTAACTGCCCTCTCATCACAAATGTGTGACAGAAAATGTTAGGGCCACTACTGAGAGCTGACTTGAAGACTGTGAAGAGCACAGGTTATCAAGCAGTGGAACCTAAGAAATGGTCAGAAGAATGGAAAGGAGCTAACAAGGCAAAGATTTGACTGGAGATGAAGAAGACAAAAAGGCTGAGAGTTGGAAAATGCTGGTGTCGATGTGCAGAGGAGAGGCCTGGTGTCCATCCACTGCTCACCAGCAATCCTTTTTGTGTGTGCATATGCTGCTTGTTCCCTCTGTTACACGGGATTCCGAGCAGTGCGTGATGTGCTGTTTTATTTACTGCTATCACAGAGCCAAGATGGCTCAGGTACTGATCAGGATCCCCACACGAGAAGCCCCCTGAACTTCAGACCATTCGAGTGCCACACACACACACACACCTTTACCCTTCCAAACCCCACCCTTCATACACATTTCAGCATTGTCACCATAGCCTCACAGAGAGCTTTTTCAACAAACAACATGCATCCTTGTTGTGAAAATTAACTCACATAACAAAGAAACTGAGCTTTCAGCAGGGCACCTGAATTTAGGAGCCGACATTGCCCCACAAGGTCTCAAAGTACCAGCTGCCTTTCTCTGGTAGATGGCTGAGCACAGCAGATGAGCCTACAATGTGCAACAGCTGAAATGAAAATCTCTGAGAGCCATCTCTAGTCGCATCAGCGCTGGCAAACACTCCAATGAGAAGTCCCAGTTAGTGCCACCATCTTCAGAACCAATTTTCTTCCCTTTTCCTTGAACCAAATGTTTGTACCTTCCCAATTCTTTGTAGATAAGATGAATAGAACCAAGCATCCGATATGGAATCTGTTAGTCCAGGGTGGAACTGAATTCCTAAAATAATTTCTTTCTTATTTGAGTGGTCACATTGTGCCCATAATGTGCAAACGGAACAGAGGAAGTGTGCTTCCTGGGAAAAGCTGTATTGAAGTTACACAATGAAATTCCAGCTTGTCTAGCAATTCAAGTCTTGTGCAGAAATCAGGGTGCAGCAAGGCAATGTTCTACCTGAAATTCCATGGAACTGAGGAGCTGCTACAGGATGTCTGGGAAGAGGAGAGGCCTTTGTCACGAGCACACTCCATAATCCATTTTGAGAAAGGCATCTGGCTGCTTTTCTTCTGAAAACAGTAAGAACATGCTATGCCCAGAGGTGTCAAGGTCTGATTTTCCAGGAATTGCCTACTCTCCATATTCTAATTTAAGGAAGGTTTCGGTCCAAAGCTCGGTCCAAAGCATTTTTTGTCCTTTATGGCACCAGAAGCCCATACTTGGCCCAGCACACCAAAGGTAACTGTTGGGTCAGGAGAGCGCTGTTCATCCACCCACACAGCCAGCAGACACCAAAATCAGAACCCAAATGCTTTGTGGTCAGCGCATGATGCCCAGAACACAGCTCCACTGTGAGGGAGGTGGTGCTTATCCTCCAGAGGAGAAAAAAGAAGAAAAAAACCAAAACAAAACCAAACAAAAGACACAAAAGACCAAAGCTGTACGAGCACTTGAAATGACTGAAAACAGCTAAAACCAACCAGTCCTCCCCACGGCAAGCACTGGGCACAGGACAGTGCCGAGAGGCCTGCCGGTGTCCTCAGCTGCTCAGACCTGAGCACGAGCCACCCTCACCCAAGAGAGGAAGTCTTTCTTCAACAACACACAGAGCCTGTCAGTCCTGCGGGAGTTCCCTTGGCGCACTCCTCTGCCGCTCCCTCGAGTTCGTCTCCTCAGCCAGGCCGGGGTACCTGTCCGATGGCGCGGGGGGCCTTGCTCCTCAGCAGGCAAACCGGTGAGTCTTCCAGCGCCAGCGCCTCACAACGCCGTCTCGCCCACGCACACTTTGTAGGGGGATTTCAGTTTCCTGCATCTAAAGCGGACACCGTCACAGGATTTGTATCAGCCAAACCTGAAACTGCAGCAGCCTGCGCAGAGCCAAAACCTAATCCCCTAAGTCACTCACTCACTCAGCCCAGAGGAACCCCACGTTTCAGACAAGCGCACCGCTGGCCCCACTGGCAGATCAGAAATCACAGGTATAGAGTGTTAGTTCCTTTAAGATCACACCACAGATTAGTAGCAGGCAAAAACACAATCCCAGTGCCCTCACAACTCTGCCCGCTGAAATTCAGACCAATGCAATCAGAAGGTTCCAGATTTCCCGTACCTCTTTCTTACATAGTAGTAGATGATGGCGAGTATTCCGCTGGTCAGTATCCCTATGCCAATTCCCACTGCAATGTAGCGCTCATAGGAATTATGTGCATATGAATTTAGTGTTAAATGTTCACACCTTTCTCCATTATAACCTGCAAGGCACCTAAAAAATAAATACACATCATGCAAAAATTATTCAGGACTCGTTTTGCTTTCTATTTCAAACATGCGTTAGTTTTCATCAGTTTTAAACAAATCACAAGACATCTAAACAAGCAAAGGCTGAGCCTGGTGCTCACTCGGAACCGCTTCCCTCCACCAAGACTACCAGTCGTCCCAGTTTATCTAGTTTCAAGCTAGCTTGAGTACTGCAGGCACAGCAGCAATGCAAGGTGCGTGGACCAAGAGCCCTGTGCTCTGCTGATCCTTGGCTGCTGTAATGTCTCCAAAGGCCAAGGCTGCCCACTGTGCATCCCAGAGAACTCTAAGGACACCGTGGTCCTGACTGGTATGTGGCTGTGGAATAAGAGAGTTGTAGCTGGTATGTTGGAAGGTCCTGTTCCCTTCTTAGTACTTACTGTGAGCATGTATTGATTCCTCTACTACTTCCTCCAGCACCAGCTATGATTTGAGATGGCACCATGGCAGTGACCTACAAAACTGTGAAGTCCCCCTCTCCCTTCCTCAGTTTTACACCAGCACAGCGCTACAGCCTTGTTGGCAGTCCTGAGGCACCACAGCACTCAGCACTGTGCCAGACGTTAATCCTGCAGCTACCTGGCTGACACTGTGAGGCTGCACATGCAGCACATAAAGAATCAATGCCAGTGCCATTTCTGAAGGAGGATAACAAGCAGGGTTCCTTACTTGCATATGGGCTTCCTCAGCTCGCTGTGGAAGGCACAGAGCCCATTGATACAATAGCTGTGGTGTTCCTCAAGGCAGGTCTGCATCAGCTTCAAGAGCTTTGGCTGCTCTGTATAATCTACTGTGGAACAGAATAAAGTCATGTTATGTTAAGGACAAAACATCATTTGAAGGTATTTTCACACCTGGAGCAGAGCAGACACTGTGTGCAGCAAACACTCAGCACATGAATTCACTGTGCAGAGTCTCGTGAGCTGATTCAGTCAGCACTGAGCAAAGCAGCACAGAAAGAACCAGCCAGGCACAGCTTTGAGAAAGCACAACTGTAAATCAATCACTTGCTCTTGAGGAACATTGACAGAAATTACTATGGGACACTACACAGCCTGACATCAGCACTATCCAACCTGCAATCCAATCATAAATCCTAGGAACAGCAGGGCTTCAGGACATGCTGACAGCGCTGCATTAGTCTCAGTATCCTTCCCAGTCTGAATTCAATGCATAGTTAATTTTTTCTTTTCCTTATCCCCAGACAAGCTATTGCATTTCTAGTGCTCCTGTTCTGCCTGCCAGCTCTGCAGCCATGGTTCTCCATGGTTTGATGCTAGCTGAGTGTCCCATGACACAACTGTAAGCTGCCTAGACTGCCTGGATGGTTTTGCTGTGCAAAACCATGGTCCATGGCTACCAAGGTTCTGAACTTGTTCTAAATTCTACACAACTGGGTCAGCAAGCACACTTCTGGAACAGAAAATGCTACCTTATTCCCTTATTCAACTGCGGCTCAAATGAGAATAAAGAAGTCATAGGAACAGGGACGCAGCAGATGAGGAGAAAGCTCCAAAGCTTCACCATGACGGCAGGCATCTGTTCCAACTGGTCTCTCTACCCAGGTACAGGAATCCCTGGTGGGGTGGGGTGTCCAAGCAATGACTTACTATTTCAGGGGACTGCCTCAGTGACAGCTGAAGGTGATTTCCTAACCGAGTGCATGCCAACACCAGCTTTCAGTTATGACCACAAGAAAAATAACATCTTGCAGCAAGGTGACAAGGTCTGTTCAACAGAGGTGACTCAACAAAGGTACAGCAAGCAGAACCCTTCCTTTCTGACTAAGTGTTGAATCAAGGTCTGGAGATAGTACACTCATGGAACCATTGCCACCAACAGAAGCCCCTTGAGGGCAGCTTGTGATCCCACCACACACTTTTCAGGATTAGCAGCACCAAGCCCCTAAATTCCCAAATTCCAGCCTGAGCCATTTAATGGCAGCAGCCTCCTTTGTGTGCTCTTCTAAGCGGCTTTGAGGTTGTTTTTTTTTTCCTTCCTCCTCTCTGCAGCTTTATCAGAGACGACAAGCAATGGCAAACAGCTGCTCTCACTAGAGCAGCTCTCAGCTTCAGCTGTGAATGATGTGGTTGGGACACCCAAAAGGCATGATGCTATCACTGACACTCAGATCAAACACTGTTCCTTTGAGAACAGTGCCTCTCAAACCTGACAAAGAATCAGACTTCCACCTTAGCAAGAGACTTGGGGAGAACAAGTGACAACTCAGGTCTGCTTGATAAATGACATGTTGGCTTACTGCACTTCCTCAGGAAAAGCTACAGAGGTGGGAGAAGGATGTCTTGTTTTAGAATCAACTTCTAATGGCTGAGGAAAGGGCATCTTATCCATCCTTCCACGGAGAAAAAGTTACCCACAAGTTTCTCTGCACACTGTGGGGCCTGGAAACACAATGCAAGGGAGGAAGTTGGTGCTGGCTAAATAGGAGCTCCAGTATCAGCTCTGGCTCTCTTCTGGCTGGCTCTGGGAATGCTGCTGACAACCTCTGGAGACAGAGGCTTGTTGGCTAAGAGCACAGTCAGCAAAGGACCAGGCCTTAGAGGGACAGACTTCAGGAAGAAGTTAAGTAAGGGCAGTTCTCGTGAAGAAAAGACAGGTTTTGGGACAGGAGATGGATGACCCTACTGGCTGCACAGGCACACTACACTGTTCTCTGATGAGGAAAGCACAATGGAAAGCATGTGGTCAGCACAGCTGCAGGGCTCAGCGTGCCAAGCAGATCCAGGATGCCGGGGACTTGCAAAAGCCAATTCTGGTTAGGTCTAAAGTACCTGCAGAACAACTACCAGGGAAGAGTTTCAGAAAATAGGCAATGGCGCATTGGCACTTTTACCAGGAACCTCCTCAAATACTCAGGCACTAACTGTTTTGGATCACCATTTCAGCACCAAGTGCACCAGAAAAAACACAAAAAATAACCCTTCAATGGGAGCCTTTAGCCAGCATTTCCCACTGCCCCAAGTACCACTCTCCTGCTAGGGCCGGAGAAGGTGTCTATTGAACAGGTTTAGTTTTTCATTTCCATCTCTTTCTCGAGGGGAAGAAAGAAAATAAACACAAGGAAGATACAAATTCACATCCCAGAAGCACAAAATCCCCAGCCACCTCTACCTCAACTTCCACCAGATGGATTTCCACATCCCAAAAATCCCTCCTCACTCACGCCAGTGCTGCCGAGAGGTGGCAGACTTCCACCCAGCCACATGTGCAGGAAACCTGGCTTTGTGCGGGTACAGGAACCTCTTCCCTGAGTGCTGCTGTCATTAGAAACCCAGGTCAGCCTGGAGCAGCAGCCTGCCTAGAAAGCACTTGAGACAAACCAACACATTCCTTCGTCACCTTCAGGAGGAACAGCTTGGTCCGTTGTGGGCGAGATCAGCTATTTAGTCTACACACAAAAATTCCGTGTGCTAATTATTTTGACGTTGCAAAAGTACAAATTACCTCTGAAAGAATGAGTCTTGAAAACAAAAAGGATGATTTCCTAGTCTGCCCCAGAGCATTATGTTAATTCCTATCATACTGTCTGCCTAGATGCTAAACAAGCTGTTGAATAAACAGGTCCATGTGCCCTTTCATGTCACGTGAGGGGAGAGAAACATGCCGTGTAAGCACTTGACAGCTGCCTGCAACTGAGTCATTTGAACAGATACACCTGGCAAGATCTGACATGAAATCAAGGCTACAGGTACTTGGAAGCCTGGGCTTGCCAAAACTAACAGACTGGCAACAAAGGAGTCAGCCAGTAAGACCATGACAGCTCAGTCCTCAAGTATGGTGCACCAGGGAGGAAAAGCAGTGGGAAAGGGGAGGCAGGGAAGGGCTCAGTCCCAGGTCCAGGGCCTCCTTTACTGGCTGCATGGAACCAGCTGATGGCAATCGAGAGATGCCATTTCCATCCCAGTGCAACCAAGTCCTTCCCTACTCCTGGCTGCCCATTTTGCTACGAAGGCTCTCCGTCAGCCCGAACACCACTGAAAGTTCTTTGTCCATGCCGTGCCAGCTCCCAGCTCCTCTCCATGACCTTTCCCCCTCTCAGCTCATCACCGAGCCCAAAATTCTCCAGCACTGGTGACAAGTGAAGCCTATGTGACACAAAAGAAGGAAACAAGGCCAGATCTTGTAAATAGCAGGCAAAGAGATTGAGCAGAAATTAATGGTTTTCCACAAACAATTCCCTAAAGAACTTGAGTCCCACAGGAAACTGCCAGTTCCTCCAGTGATATGGAACCAAGAATTCATGTTCTTAGAACCCAGTATTACTGAACCCTGGCAGTAAATCTTAACTATGAACTTACAGTGCACGGGAATAGAAGCTCTCAGGAAACTGGGGAGATTCAGTGAGTTTCTCTGGTGCCCTTTTAAGCATTTCTTTGAAATCTTCTTTCTGAAAAGGCTGTTCATTAACTGTTCACTGGCTTTGTAAGGGGTCCACCAAAATATACTTTTAACTCCCTGTGTAAATGTGTGCTTGAGTGTTTGTCAATTTGATTCTGTCTTTGAGTGGAGTTCTCTTGAAATAAAATGCTGACATATAGTTGACTACCACATCTCCAGCTGCCACAAAGGTTCAGAGACTACTGCAGACATGGCTGTGACCCTGTAAATAAACCTCTTTGCTGAAACATGACCCATCACTCCTGCTTTCTAGAAACAACACAAACAGGGTCACAAAAACATATTCCTGCTTCATTATCTTCCTGCTTGCTGTATGCAGCTCTGCAAGCATCGTGTCACAGACAGACCACACCAGACCACAGTGCTGCACTGATAAACCCAAGTACTGCAGTCAAAAATCAACACCTTACCGACTTCACATGCATATGAGTCTGGAAACATATTTTATGTATATCTATATATACACATGTATATCTATATAAGGAGCCCACACATACAGCGTGTGTATGGATGAATGTACATACAACACTGTACCACTGTAAGAGATCAGAAATGAAAATAAAACAGCTGGTCTTGCTACAATAAAATAACAAGAAGCTTGTGGATCTACTAAAAAAAGTTTGATGTCACCCTGTGATGACTTAGAATTGACAGAAGATGATTTGTGTGCGTGTTTATATGCCTTTTAAAGTCCAGAGACATTAAAAAGTATTGCAGTTAGATTCCTCTCCTCCTTTACTGACCTGCCAAAACCTCATTCCCGGATCGCTCGGCTCTCCGAAAGCAATGACATCACCAGCATCTCAGGTAACATCAAGAATGCAGCTGGCAGGGTAAACACAGCTCTGCTTTCAGATGTTGGCAGGAAAAAGAGCCCGAGTTCACATTTCAGTCAGAAAAGAGAAAGGAAGAAGGGAGAGAGCCAGCACTCTGAGGAGGGCTGTGAAAGCCCAGACAGACAACAGCAAAACTGCAACAAAGACAGAAACTACTGAGTAGCAACTCGTGAGAGGCATCGCTCAGAGTTGTACCTGTTCATTCTCACTTCTGCGCATTAAGGTGTGTGCTGAGGACAGACAGAAACCAAGCACCAGGAAAGAGTAACAGAAATTGCCATCAGAAACCCAGAACATCAGCCTTAAAACGTCTTCTTCAAATTATGACTGAACTTGAGTTAAATGTTCCTTCGGCTACTCATTGCTGAGCCTACCCTAGCTGGGTGGCAGCTCTTACTCCAGAGAGGCTTCAAAGGCTCCGTGAAGAAATCAGCTGATCTCACAAATGAAACGCACAAATCCAACAGTGTCCAAGGGATGCAGCATCGCAGCAGCTAACATCACATATTTTGCTGGAGGTTTTGGTTTGTTGGTTGGGTTTTTTCCCTAATTGACAGATTAACAGAAACAAACAGAACAAAAAAGCAGTACCTTCAGTGTTGTTTTTTGTCCAATTATTCCATAAGTCTGTGCTGAGGGATGAAGCAGTAATAGCTGACTCTTCACTCAGTGCCCCCATTGCTGTGTAATGCAAATAGATGCTTACTGGAACAGAAAAGCTCAGTATATCTATTCAAGGTTCATTTCACCCAGAAAGCACTTCATACAAGATGCACTTCAAACAAACCCCAGAGAAGACAGCATTACAATAACAATTAATTTAAAACACTCTTGCCTCAAACTTCCTTTTGACACAGCGTAATTATGATTGTGGGACAACAAACGATGGCTTGCAAATATCCCAAAATACAAATCCATCCTGTTTTCCACTCTATCATCTTGCACAATTTACAACACAGATACATGTAACATACTATGACCCTACACCTATTTACCAGTTTAAGTAGCTTATTTTCAAAGAGTCTAAATTATACCCTATCAGTTAAAATTTCATCCAGGTTTCAAACTGCTGAAGTAGCTCTGCTCCTCAACGTCTCTGCACACCTCCCACCCCACCGCCTACTTCAGAAGGAGAGAAATAGTGTTCAACAAAACCTTGGGCCTCACAACACAGAAAAGCCTCTTCCAAACCTACCTTTCAGCAAAATATAGATTAGCATTCCAAATGCCATGACAGGCAGTTGCTTTAACACCTTCTCAGGTCTTCTTTCCAGGTGGCTGCTCGCTCTGCTTATCTGTGCTCCCGTGTTTTCTCCTGCACTTATATGCCAGGAAGCGTCATCTCCTGTTCTCACCAATCAAGAAAAGGTGCATCTGGTAACAACCTAACCCCCAGGGCAACCACACATTTATTTAGGAAACTGCTATTATCTAGCAATGGCATCAGGTTTTCTTTTGAAACCCTGGTTTCCTATTACCTGTGGGCATAATCGTGCATGCAAAGGTACAGTTTTAGAGCGAGACCCGGAATCTGACAGGGCAGAAGAACAAAAAACCAGCAAAATAAAGGTGAGGGGAAAAAAAACCAACCCAGGACGGGAAAATGTGGTCCTTCCTTCCCCTTCACAATGTAGCTCTTCTATTACTTCCAGGAGGCTATTCACCCTCAGGATGCCACACTGGAGTTCAGAGTGCAGAGCACCAGTCCCTGCTCTGCCAGTGCTCCTCCTAAGGTCCTCCCTGTCCCTCGATGCCGGCCATCCAGAGGAGTAACTTTGGGTACAGCTAGTGCCAAGATTAGGAAGCGATCGGACACAAAGATAATGGATGATGTTCTTCATCAGTGACTGCCAGTGGGAGCCCTTTGATCTCAGGCCCTGCAAGCCTGAGGGCTGTGCTAATCACTTTCCATTCAGCCTGGCAGCGCACAGCCCTGGAAGCAAGGCAGCCCACTGGCCAGTGCGAGGCCTGGGACTTCTGGCTGGAGCTGCTGGGCACGAGCCCAGAGCTGGCCAGGCACAAGCACTGAGGAAACATATACTGAAAGAGCAGGTAAACTGTTGCCTCCTACAGCAGTAAATCCCCTCATTTCTGCCAGAAAAGCCCATCTCTGCCTCTCCAAGAAGTGACTGTGCTTAACGAGAACCATCATACTTTTCACGTAAAGCATTTGCAGGGTCTCTAGAACAGACCTGCCAAACATGCTTCTTGTACTAAACCACTCTCCACAGCTCCAAACGCTCCTTTGTCCAGCCTCCTTGGTCACAGGCAGCTTGGAACAAGTAGGACTGGTCTCTCTCAAGGGTACTGATTTGCCCAGACTAGAGCAGGTAATTGGAAAAACCCAGTTCAGGATCGCACAGAGACATCAACAACCTGACTGACCAAGGGAGAGCTACATACTTCACCTCAGCAACAACTCTCACTTCCTCAACTGTGAGCTCCAAGCAACAAAAACATTTCACAATTTTTGTATTTTAAAACCAAAAGTCTTCCAGTAAGTGCCCCAGTAACTCTGCTTGGCTGAAGTCCTTCCCCTCCACCGCATTCTCCTCAGCCATCTGTAGGATTACATCTAACCACTTCACGTGTTAAGGGAAAAACACAAGCTAGTTATGCATATTTTAATTATGCATTTTCCTGCTCGTGGACTGCATTCCAGGAGGCTTTTCCCTTCCTTTGCTATCCTGAATTACTGCATGCCTGCACACTGATTGAGTGCAACTTGCACACTCCCTGGACGGACAGGAGTGTTTATGCCTACCTGGCTCACCTCTGCTCTCAGTCCCAAGCAGGAATGAGGCTCGTGAGCCTTGCTTTCAACACTCAGCTGCACAATGGCAGCTTAATCTGGCCCAAATCCGAGAGGAGGCTTTGCCATGAGGCAACGCAATGGGTGCGGTAGGCCCGGGACAAGGCTGCAGTGGGCAAGGCCGTGCTCCGCCTGCCGCAGGGCGTTTGTCCTTGGACAAACCTTGACCAGGTCGGGCACACCAGCCTGCCTTTTGGCTTGTCTAATGGGCCCTTCCCTCTGGATGCTCCTTCTGGATGTTCTTCCAGCGGAGAGCACTCTCACAGATGCCTCCAGCAGCTCTGCAGACAGCGTGCTGTGGAGCCAAGCCCAGGCCTCGCTGGCTGGGCTGTAATGCCGAGCCAGCCACCACAGGAGAAAGGGAAAAGGCTCGTGATGCACGGTGACCTGCTGTTAGGGCATGACACAGGCAGGCTCGCTCGATGGACACAAGCACAGTGCCATAAATGGTTACTCGGCCAAAAAACACAGAGATGATCAGAGACAAATCAAACAAAACAAATAGCAGTGCAAACAGATGGACACAGCAGTGTCTGAACCAGCAGGGTCTCCCCCCTCGCTGTGCTTCCAACACACAGTAAACAGAGGAAGAACACAACCATGCCCCAAACCACATCAACACCCTCCAGCAAGACCAAGGTAACAGTGAGCGAGTTTTATTCCATCTTTCAGTCACGGGCTGATCAGTCCAAGTACAGTCTCCATAGGTGCCTTGATCCTCCTACCACTTATATTATCACATAAATTTATATTACCACTTACATTTGAAAAGACAAGCAAGTGTCTGCACCATTGGCATTACATATTCAGTAATAATCCTGTCAAACTTCTGCAAACACCGTGCTAAAGCAAACTCTCAAAGTCCATCACAAGAACAGTCAGCACAGAAATGACCCTCCACCTTGACTTCTTTATCACAGCATGTGCATTTTCCCCTTTAATTTTCCTATTCCCTTCGAACGGCAGTAGAACTCAGCCACAATCTTTTTCCTTCCCCTTTCCAGCCATCTCTGGCCCACTGGCAAACACCTAAGGCTCCCGATGAAAATCAATCAGTAATCCCAGCCAAACCGGCCACCACTGCCTTCAATGGTAACGTCACCAGTGCGCACACTCAGCCCACCTGGCACCTCAGCAGTCACTCCACTACAACTTTTACACTGCATAGGACCGTTCTAGATCCATCCAGGAACTAACCTTTGGGAATGGAAACATCCTGATCTTATCCCATATGCTCTTCTCTAGACAGCAAAATATTGTGGCCATTGAAGCCAAGGCTTGCAACATGGACTGAAAAAAAGCCCTCCTCATGCAGTTTCAAAAAATAAGAGAATAGTTAAATGGCTTAAAGTTCCAACACAAATATTTCATCAGGGATAAAGTTTTGGTTTTCTTTTCCTCCTCTTCATCTTCTGCTGCGCTACATATGTTGTAGGTATATAGTAATTTTAACTACATTGCACTCAATTCCATTCAATTTAAATGCATTCTGTTCAATTTCCATCAAATTCAGTGTTGAGGTTCAAAGGGTTTTGGGAGATGGGGGCATTATGCGCCAAAACAATTTGTCCAGATATGGAAACAAAATTAATTCCAGGCTCAACTCTAGCTACTTATTCATGCTTACCTCTTGCAGATGTTTAAAGCCAGAATTTCACCAGCATTCAAGATTATTTGACTGTTTTAAAACATTTACTGAACATTTGTATTTATGTCAACATCACTGCCTGGCCACTGCTGGCTCTAAGTGTTCAAAAAAAATACATTTAAGGACTCTGAACTACATCCAGAGTGCTTAGTGACCTCAGAACCCAAACCATGTATTTAAAAGATATCTGGCATGTCTTAGTTTTTAAATTGTTTGAACAGCTCCCAAGTGTTTACAAGGTCTTGATAACTGGCCCAATACATAGGTACAGTTGTAATTTATGCTTCATTCTTCATTCTCAAAAACACAGTTGACCACCACCACCAACATACCTGCGTAGGCTGCATTCTCCAAGTTTGTTTTTGCTGACAATAAGTCAGTAGGAGGTAACACAAAGTATTTGAACATTTTATAAACCATCAGATTTAACATATTTGACATGAAAAAATAAATACAATGTAGAAATAAATATATTTGTAGTAAAAAATAAACATTTTGTGTATCAATAAATAGACCAGCTCAGATTCCTCTTCCAAGGTAACCCGTTTGCTCTAGTAAATGAGCTTTTTAGTGACCAGGAGCGTGTTCTTCAGAAGCATGGCAACAGTCATAGGTCCTACCCCTCCCGGCACTGGAGTGATAAAGGCAGCCTTCTTCTTCACTTCTAAGAGAAAAGAGAAAAAGGCAGTGACTAAATGTTTCCAAATCGTTTTTCCCTTCCACAGCCCACACATGGACAAAGGGCTGTGACTGGCAGGTACTGCAGGGAAGGGACAAGCCAAGGCAGAAGCGTTACTGCAGCCACGGCAGGGATGGAACATGGCCAGGACCGGGGCTGCAAGGTGCTTCTCCTAATCTGAATGCATTACCCAGGGCTAGTTCTGGCCCAGGGTTTCACAACCTGTTCCAGCTGATCTACCTGCAGCACCTTGCCCTTTCCCCATGGCAGCACAGGCACTCACGCAGCCTCTGCTCAGACAGATGGAAGGTTAATCCCAACAAATTCTTTTGGGAAGGGGCAATTTTTTCACACGTGACCTTGGCTGACCAGCTGTCCCAGGAACATCTGGGTGGCATCAGGTCAGGATGAGCCCAGGAGTGGTTGTGCATCACTCCCATCTGCCAGCTGGGACACTGCACCTGCAATATCCATGAGAGCTATGGCAGCTGGGGATGCCATTCTGTAGGGAAGGAGGTGACCCCCCCAGCTCTGTGATCCTGGGGAGCAGCATGCAGAGCAGGAGGCTGCTGGAATTGCTGCCATCAACAGCAGAGCACCAGCAGCAGCAGTCATCCAGTCAGCCTCCATCCCACACATCCTAAAAAGACTGGGATCTGGGATCACAGAAGGAAACTTAAAACCGGAGAGGGAAAGAGTACAGTCCTCTGTTTGATTTGTTTTCCTGCTCCACAATGTAGACAACAAAGATGAGAGTTGCCTTCAAGGAAAAATACAATTCTAGTAGCAAAACTCCCATTGGAATTTCAGCCATAAACACTCAGTTCCTCCAGAGAAGGCTAATTTTTTTAATTAGTGTTACTAGGGTGCCTGGATTAAACCAAATCCAGCAAAGATGCAAAGGGGCAGGTCTTTCCAAAGTAGCACACAGGAAAGTGTTACTGATGAATTAGCTCCAACCATGAGCCACGTTCAATCATTCAAATTCAGTGTACATCTTGAGTGCATTAAGTTAACCTGTTTGTATGAGGAATTCATATAATTTAGCAATAAATCCTGACTTGATATTCTTACCTATTGTGCAAAATCCCATCGATTGGAATTACAGGTTGTTTGCAAAGGAATTCTGTTCAACTTTGCAGGAACTCACTGCAGGACAAGCTGTAGCAAGTTATTTGCTAATATATAATAATGGTCTGACCAATAAGCACTTTACTAACCTTGTTCATACTGAGAGTTGGGGTTTTTTTAGGGTGCCACCATGAGAGACTTTTCTGCTTGTTCATTTTGGGGGGTTTATTTTTGGCTTGCTTAGTAATAACCTCATAAATCATACCCCACTTCCAGAAGCATTGCTTTTTCAAAGGCACACACACAGGAGAGACAACCGAGCAAGCATAACAGACACAAACACCTTCAATTCCACTGAAGTCGCTACAGAGCAGACTCTGCCTGGCTGTGGGAAGAGATGGAAATGCAGGCACCTGGCTTTGGAATAAACAAGATCACTTGCTACTGCTTTTAGTGTATTTATCTTGAATCTCCTGAATCTATGTGGTGCTTAACCATCAGGAAAAAGAAGGTCTCAAAAACAGAAATATTACAAAAGAATTGAAAAAATTGGATATTGGGGGTTTTGGGAAATGATATTCATTAGTTTTGAAGAGCACGGGTAAATTAAATTAATAAAATGCTGTCTGAACCACGACCCCAGCAGGGACCTCATAAGAGCATTCGCAAAGTCAACAGCGAATGTCTCACTGAACTGAAGAACAAAAGTTCAACCCTCTTTGAGGAGAGATGGTGAACACAACCAGGAGGGTTTTAATTACTCTGCTGACTGGCACCACCACTGACATATACAGTTAAAATATACGGAAAGGAAATCAAGCTACAATGTGGTTTTTCTTCAGATGTAAAATACAACTAATTAATGAAGATGTCATACGACAGTTACTCTTAATATTCTCAAACACAAACAATTAACCTTTTTAACCGTCATGCTATTTTGAAGCACCTACTGTTTTAGACTGGTGCTTACAGTTAATACAGTTAGTATGAATTCCCAGATTAACATCATAATTATTGAAATGTATCCACATCTGAAGAAAACACAGCCACTAGCACAGAAAACACTGTAGGCACTTTAAACTGAAATGTGTTTGTTTCCATGGCAATGTTACCTACCTCTTTTTGTGGTGTCATTCAAACTATTCCTGCCTTACCTACAAAGAGGATAAGCCACAACCAGACCGTGAATTTCCTTAAGAAAGCCTTCCAATGACTGTCAAGTACAACATGCTTTGCCTGTGGTGTCAGAAACTCTACCCAGCAGGAAACACACAGTGCACTGTTTTCCCAAGTTGCTGGGGAATTCCTCTGCCTGTATTGTGCCATTATGGAAGTCCCTGTGGGCAGGTGTGGCAGAAGCCAGATTTCGTGTCAGTTGGCATAAAACCACCCTGATAGCTTATGCACAGAAGCTGATCCAGATTTTGAACACACAGCCGGTGTCTGTGCTGGGCAAACTGCCATCTGATAAGTTTCCATGGGTAAGAGTAAATACAGATACAGTGAGTACAGTTTTCCAAGATGAATGCCAGTGACCGAAAGGGGGAGGAGAGCTTGGCCTCAAAAACATCACCAGGCTTTCCTTTCCTGTCAAGTGAAACAGGCCAAAGCCCAGTTCTCACACAGCACGTAAACATGTGACTGATCTCATGGCAGCAGGGGAGGTGACGTTGTGCTGCCAGTTCCATCAGGTCCCGCTTCTGCTTCTCAGGAATAAAGTAACTTTGTCCACAGCTTTACTCCTGCTTTCTCCAGATAGGTGCTGGTCTCCCAGGCCTTCCCCTGACAATCTGCAAAGTGCAAATTAGATGCCTATGGGGGAGGAGCTGCTATTTTGCAGCTTCTGTCGAACCTTGAAATCTTCCTTTGATTCTTCAGAAGAAATGAAATGTAGATTGTTTCCTTGAAAAACAGGATCCACTGCTTTGGAAACAGCCCTTCATTCTTAGGTTCCTTTAAAGCTGAGGACATCAGACACCTAATAGGGTTAATCACACAAACCAATGGCAAGTCTCAACCTGAAGGCAGTTCTGGGTCTTGTGCATCTGCATTAAGTGATGCAGAGGAATTCCTGCCTAAGCACTGTTTCCACAAGGCTTTACGAGTCCCTGTAAAGCTACACCAGATCCCTGCATCCCTGCAGCACTGCCCAAGTGTGAAATCATGTGCTCAGCAGTCACATCACATATCCCATCTTCTGGGATTCTTCTCACTACCCACTGTGGGATACCAACCAGCGAGCATCTACTCCGTTTCTCAGAGTTTCTTCTTTTTCTTATCCTTGCTCCTCTTACTGCAGCTATTTTTATTTCAATATAAAGGAAAAGCAAGGAATTATGGCTCAGTGCCGTGATTCAAACAGTATGTACCAGTAAGGCCCCTGAACACCACCCTCTTCAGTGCAGAAGAACCTTGACTGGCCCTGCAGCAGCTCACCGACCCCAGTTAGCCAGCAGCCAGCCTGGCCTTCTGGCTTCTGTCACAGCCTAACACAAACCTTTCCATTCATTTCTCGCTCTCATGGAGCACAACAACAGGCCATGGTTCCCCCAATGTCTGCAGGGCAGCAGAATGGTGATGTGATTACACAGACTGGGCTCTTCTTCGTGGCAAAATGAATGCCAGATCTTCCAAATCAACTGAGAAACTACTAACAACTAACTAAAGCTCTAGCGAAAGCACCTGGGACATGCACATTCTGTTTTTGTGACCACTGTTTGGGAAAGCTGCACAGGGAGCTAATTTGGAAAGGATTCAATAAGTGAGGAGCAGCCTATAGCCAGGCAGGTACCACAATGAACGCGGAGAGGCAGCAAACACCATCAGATGCAGCTGCTGTCACAGAGCCCAGGCTTCCTGCACACTGCTGTGAGGGTACAGCTGAAGGACCACCACTTCCATTAATTAATTAGATTTGAAGATTGTGGTGGTCAAACTCACTCAGAGACAATGCATAATATAGGCCCATCACCTTGGACCACATATCAGTTACTTGTTGGGGCTCTCTCTTCTGCTGCTCAGCGCTGGGAATCCCTCCCTGCTCATGGTGGCACCAGTGTTCCAGAATCTCTTCCACAATGTCAAGTCAGAAAGAACAGTTCTCACGTGTAAAGCCCTCCCACTGATATCACAACTACATCACATAACGAACATCTTGCACAAAGAATTTCTTTTATACACAGGCATCTAATGAAGACCCAACAATCAGCAGTGCTGTTTGTCAAAACTGTGGAAGGAATTGTAAAGAAATACAAGCAACTTTGATTTAATTGGTATTTCCAGTTCCACTTGCAAAGGTGAGCTACTACAGTGGCGTGTTACTACCCTGCTCTACCAGTTACTCCTGGAAATGATGCTCCACCCAAAAGAGCTGTTTCAGCTAAATGTTCTGGGTAAGTTGGTGCTTTATTTCATGTTCCTGGTCCTTGTAGCCCTCCTCCTCCCTTGGCATTATAGCTGTAGCAACAAAAGCCTATAAAACAGTGCCAAGTACACCCACACATGCACCACACTGTTCACTGAAGCAGATCTCCCTTTCTGTCACTGAAACTTGCTGCCCAAAAGCACCTAAAGGGTGCTGGGGATCACATAGGGATGCCACCACTTCTCCTTCTCCCCAGCACTTCACTCTTCCTCCTGAGGCTCCCAGAAGCCAGGACAGCAACTCCCCAAACCACAGATTTTGGCAAATTCATCTTAACATGAGCAGGTACACTCCATGTGCTGTGGTGGTTTTACGTGGAGAGCTGCATTTGCAGTTTAATACATCCCTGCAGTATCAGGCTGGGTATCTCAGTGCTTCACAGCTGCCCTCCACGTGCACAGAGTTCTCCTGTCTCGTTCTTTTAGATACCTTGGAACTGTGCAGTAAAGTATTCTGGACCAAACAATTACTGGGTTTTGGTGTGGGCGCAGTTTGGAGCATCAAAGTGAAGAGGACACATGGGGATGTGGGAAATCGCAAATACTGTTTAAAGGCATTCCATTATTTTTGCACACGTGTACACTTAATTTAACAATGAAAGATACAAAAAAGAAGAACTGAAATGCATCCTTTTGTTGTTAAAGAGATAAAAATAACCTTCACTCTCTCACCTACCCTGCAGAGATTAGAAGATGGGATCCAAGTACTGGCAAGATAAGTAACTGAATCTAAACACCTTCCACCCATCTAATAACACTAATTTCCACTACAGGAACTTTTCAGCCAGATGACCTGGTGAAGGAAGCCATTTCCATCTGTTTTCGTAAATGAAATTTGAACTCTGATCACCCCCTTAAACCTCTGCTCTCCCCACAGCCACATTTTTCTCCTGAAGAAGTGGATGAAGAGACAGTAGACACTGGTGGGCTACGTGATGTTACACAGGTGCCACATGTCACCTGTCATGTCACAGGCCATTTTTGTGCCTGGCCTCAGCCTGCAGAAACCATTTTCACTTACCCTTAAATATAGGCTCAGCTGAATGTTCAAAAAGGGGGAAAAGGATAAAATTATTGGCTACACAAAGATGCTGGCTTGTTCCATTTCCTAACTGCCAGATCAAACGCTTGCCAAAGGTGGTTTACCTGCTAGCGCTCAGAACTGTATACACTGGGATGCTTTTTGTTGTTGTTAAAGATTTAGTGAAACTTTCACCGATACCAATGAACCAACAACAACTTCCCTTTGGCAATGCACAGTGAAATGCTACTTGTAACTGCAGTGGCATAATCCAAGCTGAAGTTCCTCCCTCGTTTTTGGATCTTCCCTCCCCCCAGGTAAAATCTCGAGAACCCACAGCAGACATGACGAGACAGATACAGCGCATTGCTGAAACTCTGAATCACGGCCTTGCCACTGAATCTACACCTTTGTTACAGGCACAAAGTCTCGTGTTTGAAGAGAAAGAAACAAGGAGGATGCAGGTTCACGCTTCTCAAAGTTACAGCTTTACTACTCCCATACGTGCTAAAGCAAAGCAAACACCTGAAAATTCTCTGTACTTTAGTTCAGCTCCGAAAACAGAAAATAGAACCTTTTATTTGTGATATCACAGGCAGGAAAAGAAAACAAACAATCAAAAAAATTCAAGTTGTCCTCCAAAAGATTTGTTTTCCTGGAACTCTGTTGCACACATCCAGCTACACATTTCCAAACACATTCCAAGACAGTCGCTCAGCTACACTCATGCAGGTAATTTCACAGACTTGAACAGACAGCTAACATGCATGGTGAGTAAAAGCACAGGGAACTAAGGGAGTGATGTAATTACAAATACACACAGCTGGCTAAAAACATTCTGAATATAATTAAGCTTTGAGACATTATGCCAGCCAAGATGTTAATAACTGTGAAAAAAAACCTGTGGGTGATTTTCATACTTATCAAAATAAGGAACTGTTGAGAACCATTAATAATGTGGGTAAATGCTGTCTAAGCTTCCCACACTCAACCCTGCCAGTAAGTGCAACAATCCTGCTATTCCAGTCTGGAGCTCCTCCAGAGCAGAGATATTTACTCAGGTTACATTGTGAACTTGCTCTGCAACAAGTTAAACATAAAAAGATCAATATATGTATATCAATATGTAACAACATTTTTTATCTGCTAGCCTTGCCTGGACCAAGATGTTAAGCACTTTTACATGAACCCACTTTAAACTTTAGCATAAAGGTTATTTCTAAAGCCAAGTTAACATTTTCACAGACCAGTGTGGAGGAAGAGTGCAAAAGGAGGCTTGGAAAAGCCGTGGTTTAATAATAATTGCAATGAACAGGAGGAGACCCTGTGTTTGAGAAAGAGCAGAAACTGTCCTCATGGATTACTTGTCCAACACTTCACACACTCAAAGGACTAAAGAAACTGGACACTCTGCACCACTGCTAGAGGAGCTCATAAGTATCTTTCCTACAGGTTGCTGGTACCTGTAATTATAACGCTTTGTCTCCTAACACACAACTTCTTAAGAGCAGATAGGTTTCTGTTCTTATTTAATAAATTATAAAAAATTCCTGAAAACACAGTCCTATTTGAGACACTGCCTAGTCCAAAATTTAACTGTGAGTGAATCCTACAAACTTCAATATATTTATCCAACATATTTACATAAAGAGTGTTTCACTGACCTTCAAAGTCCACATCCCCAACTAATTTGGTTTTTCCTGTAAGAGGATCATGGATATGGTTGATTCCTACGTCAATCACAGCTGCACCTTCTTTGACCATATCAGTTGTAATCAACTTTGGGATACCTGGAATCATCAACACATATTTAATTACTCTGGCCAGGTAGTCTGAGGTTATCAGTTTTGAATGATAGCAAGGGGTGTGCATGCAGAGCTATGCATGCACAAAATAGAACTCGTTCAGTTAAATATTTCTTGATACACCCCACACTGAAAACAACTATTCCTCAACTGCACACGGGTTGTAACTACTGCTAATACTACAGAAAAAAAAAAAAATTCCCACCAAAAGTTATGCTATGGGATTTGTTTTGGTTCAAGTAACACACTCAGCCAGTAACAAATTTTAACTGTTACAGTAATCCCAGCAGACAGGGCTGAGCCTCCACAGAGGACAAAACACCATTTCTTGCTATTTCCAGCCATCTGGGAGACCTCTGCACTTGACCTAGTCTGGGCACTGCACACCCTGTGGGTTGTATCTCTGTGCTGTCCTGGGGTAGGAGTTTTTTGCTATTAAGAAACTCCAGCTAAAACAGCCACAACAAGCCACCTCAGCCTTTTCATATGCACCATATTTCTTTGGCACATTTAAATGTAAAGCATCTTGATATTCATCACGAATATGTGCTTCAGTCAGGACCCAGAAAACCTGAAAGGTCCTATCAAAGTCTATATAATGAAATGTATCCATAGCCATATGACTCCTGTCAGGAATTCCTCCCCTACCATGCAACCTCCAACCTTCAGTAATGGGAATTTCCAAACCAAAAATTACAATTCACCTTGCTTCTTGAGCAATTCCATCAGTTTTTTGTTCTGAGAGGAATGCTAGAGTGTCTCTAAAAAGGGAGTCTGAACTCCGCTCTCCCCACCAAAGAGCTTTCTCTCAGGTGGGGAGAAGGCAAAAAGGAAAAGAAAGTGAATCCATACAGTTTTGAAACCGCAGTTGTATTGGAGGGAAGCGCTGGTGTACAAAGCTCTGGCTCCATGTGCAGTGCTGGAGCACAGCCACTTAGTCATTTGGATACAGGCAATACTGGAACACTCCTTGCTCTCCATTTCTCACTCCCCCATAAGACACCCGCTTGAAACTCTGCTTCTCATGTTGAGCAAGCCAAGATCTCCAACTCTTTCCTAGCCCATTTGATAACATCTGACTGCACCTCCTTCATCCCCCTCTGATGTAATCCATGGCAACCTGGCTGGCAACTGGATAATGCCTCAGCCTTATGGGGGTAAATGATCTGTGTGTGTGATAGGGTTGGAAGCATATTAATGGAAGCTGCACAGTTACACCCTTTGTAAAATGGTTTGATAATAAGCCAAATACTTAATAGCAACAAATGAACTAACCCCCAAACCACCTGAGTGTATCTATTTACTTAAGCCTACTTTACATACCAAGTAGGAAGGGATAAACATTAGAGCAGCTTTTCCTAAAATGCACTGACTGAAGAATATCGAAAAACCTTTCACTGGTAATCTCTGCAGAAAATGATGAATCACATTTTGAACAAAGGAAAAACAAGGCCCTACCTAATCTGAGATGAAAGGACTGTGAAACAGACAATTTCTAAGAAAGCAAACCAGAATGAGGGGTCTGATTAACCAGCACTTCCTACCTAAGAGGACCACTGATCACATCCGTAGGGACAGGGCAAGTAGTCCAAGCAGAAGTTCATGTGGCATTTGGCACACAAAAGTCATCACTTTTCTCCTTTACCCCCTCCCCAAACGCAGCAGGCGGATGAGTCCTGTTTCTCTCTGTGTGAATGGAAAGCCCAGAGAGCAGGAGCAGCAAGCTGACCTGTTCAAGAGTCCTGCTGCTCCCATCACTCCCTCGCCTGTCCTGTGGTGGCTCCAGGAGCACTGCTGGGTGGGGCTGCGCTTACACTTCTGCCACGGGGCTGGGCCAACAGCAAAAAGAAGATTCCATGGGATGGCTACACAGGCAGGGACAGCAGGCCAAGATGGGAAATGCTGTGGTGGGGTACAAAGTGTCAGGTGTGCATAACAGGAAACACGATGCTTTGGATAGAAATCCAAAAGTTGTGTGGTATTGAAAAAGATTTTAGGGAGGGGTAGGCTAGACAAGAGCAGCACTGTTGGAACTTAAGGTGCAAGGAGTTAGATAGGAACAAGAAGGAAAGGATAAACTGCGTGGATAGTTACAATCCAAGTAAGCAGGAAAACTGGTGCCTCAAGCCTGGGGGCAAATGAGAGACAGCACACAGAGACGGATCTTCTCACAGTCAGGAGTAACAGAGAAAAGAAGCACCTGATTTGAAGTGTTACCAAAACCACGAATGCAAGTGAACAGAAAAGAACTCGGAGGTGGAGCACCAGATCAGAACAGACTCATTGCAGCAAGTCACCTATGAGGAGCCAGGATGCAGATGGCTCTTGTAAAAACATCACATTGGAAAAGGAATCTTGGTCTTCTGTGCAGGCACACGCAAAAAAACTCTTTTCCATTTGCACATCTTCGGCACTGGCCTGTAAAAGCAGCTGTTCCCATCTGGCAAGGCCCAAGTTACCTTTTTTGCAACACTCGCTGAACAGGTCACCCATTTCCGGGGAGTGTGTGATCCCAGAGGTACAACGTGCACAGTTCTCAGGTAACAAAAGGAAGCTTGGAGTGATTCCACCTGTCTAAAGCGCAGCCTTCCCCAGAGCACACGCTGGGGAAGGGCTATGTGCTCTTTGCACAACCTGGCCCTAGGTTTTTTATCATTCCAAGTATATCGCAAGTTGTGTAATGAGTGTTGTATCACGCTCCTGTTACAAATGACACAAGGAAAATAATGTGAAAGGTAAACAAGGCTGAATTACTACTGGACCGTTTAACTCCAAGCATAAACAAATACAAACCATGTTCAGAACAAAAAATCAGAAGTGATGATGAAATCAGAAGCAGTGAATTTGGATGAAAAGCTACAGGTTTATTTCCAGTTAGCACACCATTGTTACCTTTTATTCACAGCAGTGAATTCTGGTCAGGCCCACAGCTGAACAATTAGATGTGGGATAAGTAAGCTGTCTCTTGCTCCTGGCCTGCCTTAGGAAAGAGGCAGTCAAGTTAAACCCTGAAGGAAAGGGCATCTCACTTCAACAGGAAGTGACAAGCTTCAGACAGGTAAAGACTGCTTGTCTTCATCTAGAAAGTACATAAGGAAGTCTTGTGTCTTGAGGATGAGAAAGGGGGGAGAAAGGGAATAGAAAAGAGGAAAGACACAATCTTCTTGTAGTCCTACAAAACGGTACAAGAGAAGGATGATATCCCTGAACTGCAAAGGGACTCAGAATTTTACTAAGGTCATAGTAAGCTGGGTTGTCGATTTTTTAAAACTGATTTTGATTTCTACTTGTAATGCCTGTAAACAAATAACAAAGGCTGCATAGAAGCAGAGTTCTGCTTGCTTCTTTGGGACAGATTAGTTAAATTTGGGATAAATTAGTTAAGTATTTCAGTTTTCGCAGCTTGAAGAGTACAGACCCTGATCTTTCAGTCCCCTTCCTCTAGGCAATTACTATTCTCTTTCTCTTGACATGATAATTGTAAAAGAAAAAAAACTCAGCCATTAATAGCATAGGTTACCCAAACCTCTGGTTAATTTGGCAAGGTTAGCCCTAATTCCAACAGCAGGGGAATGATACCGTGGTTTTATGAATGCAGCCTCCAGCTGATTTAAAGAAACCTTCCTGTCAAAATTTAAATGACTCATGATTTTTCCATGGCACAGAGAATGTTTTAATTTGCATAATTATACCTGTATAAACTATGCACTGACTGGTTCCCAATCTTGAGTTCACTCTGAAGTCTCCCTAAGGGAAAGGTGTCGCAAGTGACGAGACACAGTTTATGAGTCTGCAAGTGTGAAGGGCAAGAACAAAGAGACAAATCACTTGGCCTTCCTGCAAGGAAAAATCCTACCCACTGCAACAGCCTCAGCGAGCACGAGCACTGATTATTCAGTGACACAGCCAGTGCCACAGACTGCAAAGCCCTTGTTTTGGGTCTGAAATCCTGCAGTTGGGGTATTAACAACAACCTGCATTACCTGCAGCAACTATTACTATGTCAGCGAGCTGTGTATGGATCTTGAGCTGCTCTTTTGGGGTGTACCTGTGAGTAATGGTCACTGTAGCATCACCTGAAATGGAAGAGAAAAACAATTAACTGTCAGATATAGAATGCTACAAAAAAGTACAGCATTTACTCTCAGGCACAAATTACTTACTTTGGTACAGTAACAACAGTACAGACAGATGATCAGATTTGTCTTGGGATGTGACTTTTAAATCAGCATAGGCAGAACACTCACAACACTTACAGCTCACATATACAAAAAAAAACACTTGTTCTTAAAAATTCTCCCAGGATGAATTCATTTTTATACTGGGAACTGAATTCCCTTCCATGGGAAGGGAAGCCCTTCCATGGCTTCATTAGGTTGAGTGGAACTCCACAAAGCAAACCCAGCTCAGAAGCAGTGTCTGCTTCATCAAGGCCAGTTTGTACAGGGTACCACAAGGCTCAGTTGTTTGCCACACACGAAAGCTTCAATACAACACCACCAGCAGAAGCACAAGAAGCACACATCCTTCTGCTCCTGTGGACACCCACATTTCTTGGCAAGAGCTACAAATAAACCCTCCCAGTAAGACAGGAAAAAACCCTTATGCTGTTTGTTTGAGATACTGGGGAGAGACCCAAACACAAACAGTCACAAGGAGAGGGTCTGAAGTCTCCTACTGCATCCAACAGCAGGTGAGGTACTCCCTCGAGGACTGCCCAAGCAAGCAGCAAAGAGAACAGCTCTCAGAAGAAGACTCCTCCCAACCCTCTCTGCAATTATTTGTACTGCACAGTGTTCACGTGCTACATACCCCCATCGCTGCCTTCCACTCCTCACAGACACCTAGGCCATGTTACTCACAATTCATCTAAAACCTTTTGCCTTCTCAGACATTACCATCACATCTGCTCCCTCTGGAAAGTGTCTGACTGATCTAATCCATGCCTCTCATCTTATTAACTCTCTCAGGCATCTCACCTTCAACTTTTCTGTGCTCTGGCTCCTCTGCTCTTTCCCCTCCCCTTTTATCCCTCCTCCTCAGGCTCTGCAGCGCACACCATCTCCCCCAAGACAAGCAGATCAAGACATTTGCAGGTAGTGAAAAAAGAGAAGCACAGGCTTGAAAAAATAGAGCAGTCTATTCTGATTCCTACTTTAAGCAAAAGAAGTATGTCTTGCCCAAAATCACAATCATTACTCACCACTAAGGCTGAGAAAAACCAATGGATAAAATCCAAAGTTACAAGGTGATCTCTGAGGAAAAAAATTTTCCCCTAAGATTTTAGTGAGGAACGTGTCTGTAGTCAGCTCCTGAAACCAATTGCTTTTATTACCAAAAAGGAAAGGAGAAAAAAAAGGAAAAAAAAAAAAGCCCCTACCTTGAGAATAGCAGTCCAGAAGCTTACAGACACCTCAGAAAGGGGAAGTTTTCCATTTATTTGTGATCATGCCCAAACAGAAAATAAACAACTATTTTTACACTGCTACTTCTGCTGAAAGAAGAGGAATATATTTTACAATTAAGATCCCACATGATACTCCCAAGTCAGTTCCCTAGCTTATAAAACAAAGATAGTCTCTTGACCTACCTACACAGAACATTATTTATTTTGAAAGGGGTTGACGTAGCTTTTCCATCTGATCAGATATTGCCACCTGCAGGACATGAGTGTACCTACATATGAAACATCACAAATGAAGACAGCCCCCAACTTTTAATTTTTACTCATAATCTATAAAGAAAGCCAACCAAAACCTACAACAAAATAAGAAATAAAAAATAGTACCATACCCACACTCCTTGCATCACTTCTCAATAAAAAATATTTAATCAAGTCAGCCCAGTTGCTGAAAAAACTCTTTCTTGACTGATAACCTGAGAAAGTTATTTTTCAGCACTTCATTATAGGTCTTCTCTGGTCCCTATCCTCCTGAGTTTAAAAAGATAAAAAAAATAAATCTGAAACCATGGCCTGGCCTACCTTCCTTTCCACACGCCACCCAGGCCCGTCTCTTGCTTCTCATAGCAGAAGCAGAAATTGAACCCAAGCACAGAAGAACCACATCTTCAAGGAGAGCCCCATCTGTCAGTCAGGGAGGAAAACTCCACCAAATCCACCCAAATACGGAAGTATTTATCATCATGTACACAGCATATAGACACACACTCAATGCCAGCTCATTATCAGAAAAGTACTTGTTCCTTTGTTTTCTCATTGCCAGCTGCTTTATACTGTGTGCCAACACTTAGCAGACTGGAAAACTACCTGAGAAATAAATCCATTTCTTCAGATTAGGCAAAGATAACTTGGATGAGTTCACTCTTCCTGTACCTAGACTCCAGTGTCAGTAAGGGACTACCTGAACATTCTTCTGTCCCTACACCAAATATGTGACATACTTAGAACCACTGGCAATGCAGGGTTGCCAGGGAAGTCATCTGACATGTCAGGAACCAGAACAACGGCAGAAGACCATGAAGCACCAAAACAACCCTCATGGATGGGCCCCCAAAATGAGCTGCACCACCAGACAGTCAAACAGGAACTAGAAACCCAGGACATGAGCCAAGAAAGCTGAGCCATGGATCCAATCAACTCAAAAGCTGGAAGCTGCAAGCAGTATTTAGGTACAGCCAAAAACTGCCCATGCAGCTGCTGAGGGTTTTGCAACAAGCTGCTGAAAGCATTGCAGGTCACCAGGTCTCCTCATTTCCAGGTGGGAAACCTGTAAGTAGCTTGTAACGTAGCTTTGTGTTGTACCAAGCCCACTTCAAACATCAGCTGCACCGCCAGTAACAAATGTCACCCAGTATTTGCAGCAAATGGCAAAAAATGCCACTAATTTTCGTGGGAATGAGGATGAGACCAGAACTATGCACCAATGGTAATTACAATTCAAGCACTGAGGGAAGTTCCAAATAGTAACTTTCCCACAGAGGCTGAATGGAAAAACCAACTCTGTGATTAGTATAAAGCTTTTAGTGTTTTATTATACTAATAACAGATTTCACTCTGCTCCAATTAAATAGGCCTGGGATTAAATGTCCATGTTTACCTCATTCATGCACACCACCGTGGCAGTTTCTAACGTCAAAATGAAGTTTCAAAAGGGCAGCATTCTATCTAAATTATATTTGTTTTCGTTTCTACGGCACAATTATAGCAGCACATGTAGGCTTGTGTAATTAGAACTACTTAAAACTATTTCCACCACAACTCCCAGTTTCCAGGGGGATATAAAGTGCACTGCAGAAAGCAATCAGAGAGCTCAAGCTGACAAGTTCCTGGGCTGGTCATTCCTGTACTTTCACAGGCAACACCTCACTGGCACAGCACAACACAAGGGTCATGGCACGCCTTTTTTTTTATTCACACGTGGCTCTGTATGCGTGTTTAGGTACACGTGTGTGTGTGCTCACATATGTAGGAGGTGTGAACTCAATACTGAACAGGCATGAGGATGAGGCTGCATAATAAACATCACAGGAGCCTCTGCGGCTCCTCAAGGCCTCACTGCAAGCATCACCCTCGAGGACCAGTTGAATGGTAGCTGTTTCAAATGGAGGAGGAAACAATGACTTAATACCAGAAAAAGTCAGGTCCAGAAGCTGCTCTCCTGAGAAAATTCATTTTCTTGGTCTGGTTGCAAGTATTGACAGGAGTGGGAAAGCTTTCTCTTTAATCTAAGTCCTCTAATCAGCTTCATTTTCTGGACTTCACAAATGGAAACACTGAGACAATATTCCTGGACTTACCTCCAGGCCTTTCATGCTCTCCATCGGTGTGTAAAAGCATTGAAATAGGCATTCCAACATTTTTAGATCTTCCAGCTACAAGAACATTTTTTCCAAATGTTTGTATTCCTTGTAGCGAAAAAAAAAATAATTAAAAAGTTACATTCCACTGTTTTGATACATCTAAACTCTTCTTCTCAATCCCCATGACAAAATTATTTGTTGTTGTGGACTGCTGACATCAACACAACTTGAAAACCCGCAAGGCAGAGTTTGAGGGATGAATCCACAAAACAACTTTCAGCTTTCACCTTGGAGAAAGAAAACTGACAGCTCATTCAGGTTATCTGAATCATCCTTAGCAAGGGCTTAATTTCCCTCCTCCAGCCACAAAGGGAAACACTTATGTCTACCAATAAGAACATGAATATTCTATATAAAATATTACAAATACTGAATACATATGCATTTTCCCCCTTTCAGTACTGAATTAAGTGCTCCCATTTTCTGATCTTGTTTTTTGCCCCTTCTCCACAAGAACTTACGCATTCAAATCTCCTATTTGACAATAATCATGGTGCCAAGAACAGCACAGAAAATTCCCCCAAAACTATAAAATTCAGGAAGTTACTGAAGTGTTCCAGCAAGTACTACTGTCTACACTTGACCAGTAGCCCTGCTGATGGCACAAGAGCCCATCTAGTTGGCAGCTCATTATTATTCAGATTATTACTCTAAACGTTTGCTCTTCAATCAGCCCAAAGCATTTAGGGATAACCCAGACCTTTCAGCTCACGGCTGAGCTAATCCTTTGTTGGTCTGCCAGGACAAAAGGATTTTGAGGCCAGGCGAGTCCCTTACCCGTCCGTTTTATGATTTCCCAGACGGCAGCAGCAGTGGGAGGGATTATGGAAGGCTGGTCCAGACACAGACGTCCAACATTGATGATGTGGAAGCCATCCACGTCCTTTTCAGGGGCGATGGCGTTACAGACCATCCGCTCATCGATGTGACCTAGGGGGCACACAGCTCTCAGCTACAGCTCCTGCACTTGCCAGGTGCCATCAATACCAACAGAGTCATTACACACACCAGCACACAGCCCGGTAATTAACGGCCAGGGTAATTAATCACTGCCCTTGATTGAACAAGCTACACTCCCCCTAGAGGCACTTCCACCTTTTCAAGCAGTTTACTGAAAATTAGGTTAAGGCATTTGTCGCAGTGCTAATAACAACAGATTCTGTCTAAACATGAGAGCCCAGAACTCAGCTGAGAACGAGGACAGTAATTATAAGAAGAAATGTTTAAGCAAGTCACGTCAGAGTCACTTCTGCAATCTGGAAGTCTTAAATATGAAGCAGCTCAAAAGCCCCAACAAACCACAGGAGAACAGTTATATGCATTTTTCTGGTTTCTAAGCCCACAGAGCATACCTGAGCTAATTTTTAAACAAATTCATGGAAATCTCAAGCTGAAATAACTTGGCAGGTCTAGCCTTCCTCTTCTAACAATACTATTTTTTTAGTCAACTGTTGATCAGTAGGACCAAAACATATCCTGCTTCATTAGAAAACTGAGAATACACAAAACTCCTTGATATTGGTGATCTCAGAACACTGAATATGGCTTAAATGGCATTGCCTGCACCTAATTTCATATTCATATCTATTCAAAGTGAGTATTTTTCATGTGCACTAATGATATGGGAGAGTTCTGTAACTGCTTAAAGCTTATACTGAATAAACTTTAGTACGGATTATGAAAAAAATGTGTGTTTGCCAGACCCCTCTGTGCAGAGTTACAAGCCCAAGAGTAAACCTGCAGTGCCAAACACCCCCGAGGAACAGCTCCACAGAACATCCCATACTGGCCCAAAAAGTAAACTGAGTATCAACAAAGAAATTCAGATGTTGCCAGTAAAATATTTTAGAGACACAAACAGGATGTTCTAATTCAGTAGGATTTTGCGGTTTTGCATTAAAAGGAACTATATAATTACAAGATAGGCATGTAATAAATTTTAAACCATGGTAATCTCCTGTTAAAAGATTTCCAATTAAAAAGCCCCTAAAGTTAAACCAGGCTGCAATAATTTACAATTTGATTCTCTATTTTTCGACGAGAGGAAGTTTCCTTCAGAATCCTAATGAGAAAAGACTTCAGAAATCAAGATATTAAATACATTGATGAAAGAACTGAAACTTGCCTCACAGAGACTGAAAGCAACCATAACCTTGTTTTTATGTAAACTTGGGGATTAAAGAAAAACAAACAAAAAACCAACAAAACAAGAAATGTGAAGTAACCTATTAAATGGCTTTTGCAAAAGAGAACTTGTTACCCTTAGGCAAGTCAGTTGTTCATGCAACACAAACTTGGCATCCATGCTTTTCCTTGTGCCTGGGATGAGGAGAGGACTGCTCTGAAAAACAACTCCTCCACACTGTCTGTCTTTAGCTTCCCAGAAACAGACAGATAATAGACACAATTATGTAAAAGGAAAAAAATAAATAACTCATGCCATACAAGGATATTTTCCACACTCAAAACTGATTTGCAGAATTCCAGAACAGGGTTTACAGTACTGGGAAGAAATGCAGCTGCACAGCTGGAGACAAGTGAGCTGTGAGCCTGAGAAGAGGATGTGGACACTTCCCTTCTCCTTCAGGGAAGCTTTCAAAGCACTGTCCTGGGCAGGCCACCCCAAACCAACCAACCCAACTGCAGAGATAGCCACTATGTTATTTAATGAGCAGATTCTCTTGGCCCCAAGAAATGCCTTTTCCTGGTTTGCTCCCACATGACTTCTCGATTTCCAGAGGAATAAAATAATCCCTTCATTATCTTATTGTCAGTCTCATAAAACATCATCTGATACCCATACAAATTTCCTTGCTGTCATTCCAAGCCACTCTCCAGGCCAAGTTCCTCTCTGCACCTCGTCTCCCTTGTTAGCTCGACTTGCAGGACGACACTGGGCATCACTTGCCGAGCATTCGCACACAGACCAACTCCTGTTTAGACAACAACTGCCTCCTGTGCTGGCACATGAAAAACGAAGACTGCTTTTCAAAAGGGAAGACTAATGAAAATAACAACATAGCACAAAAGGCATTTGGAAAAAAGCAATGTATGGATTTTCACCTCCTGTCTCAAATAGATTAACATTTTGTGGCCATCTCCCAGGCAATTCCAACTAGGATACGGGAAAGTCTCCACAGAGCTGTCACAAGTAATGCACTCAAAAGGTGCACAGGAAAGCTGCTCTCCCCAGGCAAAGATGACAGTGCTCCAAGTTAAGCTGGCCCAGCTCACAACAGTGCAACGGAACTAAGCTATTTCTGGTTCCATTTTTAACCCAATGTTGATCAAAAGCCACACCTTGTGTGGTTTGCTGCAAAAAAGCCCCAAACTCACAACAACCTCAATTCTGGGATAAGCAGCCTCCACTGATGAAGTTTTCACTACTTCTAGGCTTTGCCTCCTTCCATTACAAGGCAAATAAAAAAAAAAATGGAAAATGAGCTAACTTAGCTTTTGGGCCCTTAGTTTATTAAGTTCCTTGGAGGAAAGAAATAAATAATTCAGTTATCTGAGTTATATTTGACATCTGTTATGGAAAGAACTTACTGAACATTTCCAATTCATGATAAATTGCACATTTAACTTCACTACACAGACTATAGTGCAATATCAACAAACTTCTGTTATTGATTAAATTGTTCCGGGGCTTTTCCTAACAAACAACAGCCATGCCTGTCTGACAGGTGGCATGGAGAATAATTAGTCTTCAAGTATTTATTGTGAAAGATGTGTCAGAGTTCTGGACAACAACCAATTTTAGGACTGACCCTTATTGAAGGACTTCAGCATTTCAGAGCAGAAGCATCAAACATTTCCACTGACACAGCCAGAATTATCTTCAGGCTTTTTTTCTTTTCTCACATGGATCAGGTTTAAACCCACCACATTTTAAAACCACAAGAAGCTGTGAACTGTGCTCTGGTGAAAGCAGACAGCTGGAGAGCAGACTGCAGCGACCCGATATCCTCCTCATAAACACAAAATGCATTTCTGCAAGCGGTACCTAATCATTTCCCAGGGTACCCTCACCACTAAGACACCTGACACCTCCCCTTTTTGGGAACACAGCACTGGACTGGGAGTCCAGCGCACAAGCCTGCACCCCTTGCTAGAGGCATCAGACAGGATGATCTCCATCCCTAGGCTGCCAGTGCTCTACCTTCCCGAGTTCTCATGGCTGTAATGAACCTTTGTTGATTTCACCACCTGCCACTGCTCATCCCAGAGATGTCTGCTCCAAGAGAACCGACCACATTACCTCAGCTCCTGCCTTCAAGGCCAGGATGTGGCTCCTTACCTGTGCTGTACTCCCACCTTGTGGCAAATCCATCTCAGTACATGGCCCGTTTACTTCCACCTAACACCAAGCACAAACCCTCCTCATCACAACCACTACTGTTTATTGCAAAATATTACAAGTGCAGCCAAAGCATTTTTTCCTCCATATCTCCCAGAACCTGCCCATTTTTGCTGTTTTATAGAGTTTCAGTTCAGTTTGGTTTTTTTTTTTTTTTGCAAAAAATACCACCTTGCCAGCTACTTCCCAGAGATACTTCAGTGAAACTTTATTACAAATTAGGAGAAGGTAAATAAAAAAAAACAAAAAAATTTAGTCAAGGCTTTTTAGGGCCTTTGCACAAAGTTCACCTGGAACTTTAGGGCCAACAAAGAAAGCATAAACAAATGTTTAAGGCAAAACACGGAATCACTATGAGAAAGGCTACGGCAACGTCTGCTACATGGCACAATTTTGCATGATATAGGGGATGAAAGCATGGAACTCCAGGCAAACCAGTGCAACATGTTAAAAAAATAAAGAAGATTACACTGGATAAATTCTGTGAAATGCCTTGAAACACCACCCTGGTTGATCATTAAAAAAGGCAAGTTTTACACATGAAATTATTCTCAGGATTTGTTTTTTTCTTTAAAATGAATCGCACATCCAACAAAAAAAAAATAAATTAACAGCTAACCCTTCCTTATGCATGTCCTCTTTCAAGAGTTTGTTGTGTCCCCGAGGTTCACTTGCAGCCCAGACCTACTGAATTCTTTGCTCTTACATGGACTGTGTATGAGGAATGGGACAAAGATGTCACATACCTGGGAGAGGCAGCTGAACTAATAAACCACTAACTCTTGAATCCTTGTTGAGCTTGGCTGTCATATCCAGGAGCTCTTCCTGTGAAATGTCTTTAGGCCTCAGTATGATCTCACTAGAAATGCCTGATAAAAACAAAAACAAAACCAACAAGAAGACAGGTTAGAATAAGGAAACTGAGTGATGTGCAGCTTAGTCCTTTAGTCCAAAAATCTGATTCTTAACAACTGCTTCCAAACACTATTTAAAGACTCAAAATGAAATTTATGGCTCCCACTCAAATCACATTAAAACTACCTTCTTCATACATCCATGCAACTCCTGAGGTCCATCAGAGAAAACATGGAAGACATTGGCACAAAATTTAATTAGCACACTAAGGAAATTCCTCCTGCTTTAGTTTTTTCTTTTTAAATAAGAGTATCTTGCCCTTGCCCAAGGAACACCTATATGACATACCCACGGCTGCAGCTGCTTTTATCTTGTTCCTGACATAGATGTGACTGGCTGGATTGTCTCCTACTAAGATGACAGTGAGGTGAGGCCTCTGGTTCCCAGCGGATATCCACGACTCCACATCCCTTCGGACCTCTTTCAAAACCTGGTGAGCAAGCTTTGTCCCTGAGATAACGGTTGCTTCGTCACTATAGAGATAAAAAATTAGACAACATTGAGGTCTACAATTTCACCAGGAAGGAGACACCTTTAAAAGTGTGTGATCTACCATTTTAGACACTGCCAAATGTCTTGATTCACGTGCTAGCATTTCAAATATTATTTGGAAAACATTAACACGTTACAAATCTACAAGGGAAAAGAAGTGCTTTCCCACTCTCTCGTCTGAAGAGCACGGATGTGCCATCAGTGCACATGGAAGAGGAGCTCATCAACCACAACTCACCTTCACAACACACTTAGCCAGCCTCCTAAACTTACATTAACTCCTGCATTTGGAATAAATCATGAAAACGTTCTTATGCCCTTAGGTTTTACTGATTTAAGGAAAGTTACCCCCTTGCCTCCTGCAATTTCCTTAAAAATAGATTTAACATAGGACTATACACACCATTTTTTGTCCAAGCCTCAACGATGTATTTCTCTTGTTTCATAGCTGCTAGGAAGGAAGTCAGGAAATAGCGTTTCTCGCATTTGTAAAACATAAAAATAGCAAATACTGAAATACATTGACGTTTCTTAGGTTTAGACCTAAATAGTCTAAGTCCTTTAGTCCTTTATTTTCTCCAAACAGAAAATTCTTGTTGTTTATGAATCTGGTGACTTGCAGGGCGTGACAGAAACAAAGATCTGTACTGCTATTTTAGATCAATTTGTACTCTAAAAGCCTGAGATAATATTGAGCATCACAACATGTCCCACACCCCATAAAAACCTGTGGAAATTTATTAGTGCAGTAACATCTAGGTTTTGTAGAACTGGAAAATACAGTTACTAGCAGTGCAGAAAAGAAGTAGGACATGCACTGGTGCAGAAAGACAGCTGTTTCTCCCAAAACTGTCAGAATCAATTCTCAATACACAGAACATCCAAGGGGGCAGATGCTTATTTCAATGGCTGTTCAGTTCACTCATCTTTTCATTCTTGAAATCATGAAGATAGTGTTTTCAGCATTGACACTTGTGACCTGCTGAATCTCTTAAGTCAGCTTCCAGCCAGGTCTTAAGACAACGACATACAAAAGAAAAGGTCCACAAGCAGGAGCTCTGAGAGACACTCCCATGCACACCCAGGCAAGAGCCCAGAGCTGTAGTGCTGCAAAACCAGAATCCCTTTGCACACAATGCAATAAATTAGAGACGGGGGGCGATTACTGTCAAGACACTGATCCCCACTGCACCAAAGCATGCCCTGTTTGCCACCAAATGATGAATTTATACAATAATTCTGTATAAATCCACGGACGGGTTCTTTAAGGTACCGGGAGCAAGCCACGGTGTACTCACAGATGCCCCTCTGGGAGGGGGCAGGAAGGTCACATCACAAAGGCCACTTCAATTTAAAGAGCACCGCTTAAACCCCCGATGGATCGCCAGGGCCACGGCCCGCTGGCCGCCCGCTCTTCCCCGTTTCCCCGGGAAGGACCGCGGAGCTCAGCGGGGATCCGTGGGCATCCACACCGAAGGGCGATCGAGGAGGACCCGAGCCCGCTGATCCCCCAGGCGTTCCGCGCCCTTTGGACCCGCCGCGCCATGAGGGGTACGAGGATGGAGGAGGAGGATGAGGAAAGGGAGGTGAATGAAGAGAAGGAAAATATCCGATAGGCGCAAGGTACCTGGCGGCGCTGCGAGGGAAGCTGCTGGTGCTGCGAGCAAGGGCTCGCCACCGCCTCAGGGGCGCCCAGCCCGGGCGCAGCAGCGCGGCAGAGGAGGACGAGGCGGAGGAAAAGGAGATAGCCGCGCCGGCCGCCGCCATTTCTGTGCGTCCTCACGGGCGGAAGCGCCGCCGCAACCAATGGACGAGGGGAGCAGGCGGGGCCAGCGCCGGCGCCGGGATCGCGGCCAGAGCGGGCGGAGCTCAGGGACGGCGGGAGCTGAGGGAAGGGCGGGCCTGAGGGAGGGGAGGCTCTCAGGCACGGGCGGAGCCGTGACAGGGACGTCGAGCCGCAGGGTAGAGCTGGAGCCAGGCAAACGATGCCGCAAATACGGGCTTCGGCTGTAGCCTTCGGTTACCGTGAGCTGCTGCTCCCGTCGCAGTTTGGAGTGGGCAGACACAGAGCTTCACGGACAGGCATCCATGCCCCTCATATATATTCCCTACACCCCGGTCTTTTCTGAGGGGGAGGTCTCGTGGAATTGCTTGCAACTTGTATATTGGTGCCTTCTGTCACGTTAAATAGCAGATTTTATAGTAAAATATCGTCCGTGCAGAGGGGAAGCAGAAAACAAAACAATACCTGAAACAGCATATTAAAAGCAGGCCAAAATAATAACAGCACCCTCACCACCCTACTGGCAGTGGGAAAATTCCTTTATAAAGTTAGGAAAATCTTTGGAAAGGTGCATCAACTTAGTGAGACTTTTCGTTCTGCTACGGGCCTGGCAAAGTTTTTTTACCAGTTCGGTGTTTCCAAAAGGAACGTGGCTCAAGTGCTTCCACAGAGAGTGTGCCTGCTGGGTTTTAATGGCTTGGCCTTTCTAAAATATTATTCTTATCGAAATATACCCTAGATAAAAGCACCCCATTATCTGCCACTCACCCGGTCCTGCCGCTTTTCCCGGCTCCTGCCCTCACGGCTCGGTGGCGGCGCCACTCCCACCTGTGCACTCCGGCCGACATGGCTGCGGCCCCCACAGCCTTCTTCTTCTCCTTCTTCTCCGCCCTGCTACCCCCAGGCCGGGCGCAGCTCAGGGGCCGGCCAACCTTCACCTTCCTCCCGGCTCCCAGGGCCGGCTGCAGCGCCAGCAGAGCTCCCTCGCAGCGCCCATCGGGGAGTTTTTCTCCTCGCTCCTTGCCCCTCGTCCCCCCGGTCCCCCCGGTGCCCCCGGTCCCTTCACGCCGCGGCGGGAAGCGCGCGACGGGCAAAAAGGGCGCGAAACGCCTGAGGGGACGGCGAGGAACATTTTATCGGTATTTGGTGGGACATCCATCGGCCCTTGTCTGACAGGAAAAAACACACAAGGTCATCAAGGGTAAGGTAGAGACTTTCAAATCTCTGCTGGGAACAAAATTTCTGCTGTTTAAAAAAACCTCAAAAACCCAGATGTGAAGAGTCGGGAACTCTGTAGCTGTAGGGACATTATTGCTACAGTGTGTCTAATTTCCCACAAAGAATGTGGTAACATTGTGAATTTATGGAAGGGAATACCAACTGTAACACGGGCACAACTCTCTTGGAGTCTATAAAATTTTCAAGATGCTTTGAAAAAGTACACACACTTTCAATAAGGTAAATGCCACGACCTTAGAGAGGGTTACATAGATAACATCAGGAATACAACATCTTTGCTGAACTTTTAACATGGAAAAAGTACATTGAAAATTGAGACCTGACATGTAATTTTCTGGGTTTTTTTTTAGTTATGTGACTGTCCCGGAGTGAAGTTACTTTTTGGTATTGTCTGTAAATGAGTGTTATCCCAAACCTTAAAGTCATCTGGTGAATAGATCAAATAGATCAAAACCAAAGAAGAATGGTTTGGCAAGTGACAAGGGAATGGAAATAACAGGTATGGGGATTGCTGGGAACTTCAATGTGGATTTGATTTGTTTTAAATTCATAAAGACATCTTTGGTTGACTTCAGCAGCAGTGCTAATTTTATCTGCATACCCAAGTAAAAGCAACATAAAATGTTGTGTTCGTTTTGATGATTTGTTATCAGAAAAAAAATAATTTCAATCTGTGTTTTTTTTTCTTTAAATAGAATAAGCTTTAATGTAAGATCCACAGGAAGATCCCCTTATCACACAGAATTTTTAATGTGCGGTTAGACTACACACTAGAACTCTTGGCAACATCTGTAATTCTTAACGATTCTTTTAGAATAACCCAAAAGACGGGTTAAACCCAATTAGGATACGTCCATCAATCTTTAGAGAAGCTTCCTAGGGCTGACAATCCCTGCTCTCTGCTGTTATGGTCCTGGCAAGGAGCTCAAGCACCGACGAGACACCTCACTGTCGCTCCTGCAGAGTCCTATAATGAGTCACAGTCGTGGAAAAGCAAATATTCCTCTCTATTACAAACGGAGCTGATCTGAACCGCTCTGGAAAATGGCAAAGCCTCAGCAAGAACCTGCTTAAATTTAGAGCGCATTTTACGCTCCTTGCCGTCTGCCTGGTTTGTTTGTCTAATGATGAAAACCGGTGAAAAAGTCAAAATAGCACTCACTTCTGCAAATATCTGAGAGAACTGGGAGACTGTGACTATATAGAAAGAGTTGTTACTACTTCTAGGAGGAATAGTTATGATTGTCTATTACTTATTTTGTAGTACAGAAACTGCTATTTCAGATAAATCAGATCAAAATTATTTCCTTGTTTCTCCATGAAAACATGCATTTAAGTGATCCAGTAATATTTGTGAGTGGCATTATAGATGTTTATCACTGCTTTTACTGATACTTAGTTAATTTCTAAAAGTAGTTTAGAACCTTTGTTTCACTTTCGATGTCCCACCAAATACCGATAAAATGTTCCTCGCCGTCCCCTCAGGCGTTTCGCGCCCTTTTTGCCCGTCGCGCGCTTCCCGCCGCGGCGTGAGGGGACCGGGGGCACCGGGGGGACAGGGGGACAGGGGGGAAGGAGCGAGGAGAAAAACTCCCCGATGGGCGCTGCGAGGGAGCTCTGCTGGCGCTGCAGCCGGCCCTGGGAGCCGGGAGGAAGGTGAAGGTTGGCCGACCCCTGCCGGCCCGGGGGCAGCAGGGCGGAGAAGAAGGAGAAGAAGAAGGAGAAGAAGAAGAAGGCTGTGGGGGCCGCAGCCAAGTCGGCCGGGGCGCACAGGTGGGAGTGGCGCCGCCACCGAGCCGTGAGGGGAGGAGCCGGGACGGGCGGAGCTGAGGGCGGAGGAGTTCATCTAGGTAAGTGTCCGCAATCATTTGGGAGTTTTCTTTAAGAAAACTTGTCTGCTTTTTTTTGCAGAGGGCGTAAGAACCTGCTTTTTATTTATCCTGACCGTGGAAACCCCTTTCAGTGTAGCGCCTTCACTTGCAATGTGTTCAGCTTCTGTAATCAAATAGTAGTGGTGAAAAACCCCAAACTCTGCAATTATTGTTGCTGTCTTGTCGGGTGACAGCTTCTGAGTGCGCTCTTTGTCTGTGGAAGAGGATAGTGAGCTCAGATCCATGGAACAAGGTGTTCGGCTGGGTTTTTGCAGAAGCAGATGTTCCTCTATTTTTAGTGTTAAATGGAATATATTTTTCAAGGACTTTTCCTATAAAGGTCTAGACAGGTCTTTGTAAGCGACTGACATGTTATTCAGACCGTGACAGTCATAATTTTTGAGTACCCTTGCAGAGTAAGAATGTATATTTTCTCCATGAAAGCATTTTGCTTCCTTAGTCTGCAGCTATGGAGACCTAAGCAATCTCCTATTCATTCCTCCAAATATTTTATAAATGCTTTTGGTTCATCAAGTTCGTTACATTATAGTACAAAATATGCTATTTACTCAAAGCTGGAACTTTACATGGAAACCAAACTCTCTTTCCAGTTCCATGGGAAAAAAAAGAAACAACCCAAACAATTTCAAGAGTTAAATGTAGTTTTAAGTTGCAATGGTAGTCTTACTGTGACTTTGTACATTTGTCTTATCTACAGGCACTTATGTGAACCTCATAGGGTGCAGTGAAGATTAACCTTATTCATGCTTAATATCTTGAGAATTTCAGAGAATGGATGATAACGATTCCCGAGCCCCATGAGGACTTCAAAACCCTGAGAGGCTTTTGATGTGTCCTGTTTTACTAGCATTTTTTTCTTGGGCAATGTACTTTCCTGCTGAAAACTGGGTGGGAGGCAAAAATCCGGAGTTGCACAAGACATTTCCATTGCTGTTTTAGTAGATTGACTTGCATCTGAAGAAAAACATATGACATAGAGCAGAAGGGAAGAACTGTAGAAGTTTGTAGTGAGCCATGGTTTTCAAAAATAGCATATAAAATAGGCATCTATTTCTGCAGGTAAATTTGACATTTCAGCTTCTAAAAGAATCTGGTTATTGTCAGCATTTTAGTCATGGTCTTTGGGGTGTACTAGGCAGGGAAAGTGAAAAATCTGCCTTGGGATTTTGCAAATATCTGCTGCTCTGATAAAGTGAAGCTGGATGTAGTTCTCTCTGGAATTCCTGAGACAGACATGGTGTAACAGGGCAGTGGGGTCATGTCAGACAGACACCATTCCCAGGGGAAAGCCATTATGTGTGCAGACACACTGGAGTTTTTTGAGAGGTGGCCAGTGCAGGCAGGACTTTCTCAAGGTTCTGAAGAGGGAGCGACAGTTTCAGGTCACCTTTAAATGGCAGGGAAAAAATGGTGACAAGGAAACGGAAGAACTCTACCCATGGGTGGGTAAAGGAGACAGATTTCCGTACAGCTGCATTTGTCTGTCCCATGTTCTGGGGATGAGCCAAGCTTTCCTCAGGTGTCACAGGAGAACTCACCCATGTCAGCAAGGCCAGGATGTGGTTATGCTTTCAGACAAGGTTTTGTTGGACAGCAGTCGATTTGTCTGTCACTAAACAAGTACCGTGACCCTAGTGACAAGAGATTGTTTGTCCTAGGAATGTGCACTGAAGGATCCAGACAAGGGGATGCTTGGCTTTCAGAAGTGTCAGCTGGGACCTGAGCATTTTTTTCTTTTCTGGGAACAAATTAACTGTTGCAAACTTTTCCTGTTTCTTACCATAGAAAACACTGTTGCTCCTTCCCTCCCACCCAGCAAAATGTGTTTAAACAATGCCCACTTCAAGGTGAACCCAAATAGAAATTCCTGCAGATTGCAGGGGGTCACTACACCCATCCTGGGGTTAATCTCTCTTCATATCAGCAGCTCAGATCAGCTTCACATCAGAGGGTCGAAGCAATGTGCCTCTGAATGTAGAAACACTTTTGCTTGGTGCCAAGTGCCCCTGACACTTCAGAGAGAACTGATCTGCAGGTGTGTCCAGGAATCCCTGGGTACACAGAGGCCACTGCTTCCCTGCATCCCACTAGCCCAACGGGTACACAGGTCCATTTAACATGGAATTCACAAAAAGACAGGATATTTTTCAACAGGAAAAAAATTTTATTGCATCATATGTTTCGTTACATTATCAGGAGAAATCCACCTCTTTACATACAATTTTCCAAAGCAGAATAATGAAAATCAGTTATTCTTTATGAGTTATGACACTATGTCATACAAGTAGACACAAAATGTCTAAGTCACTCCAGAACATTTACTGTTCCTTTAGATCTTGCACATAAATACCAAATGCTTTAATGTAAACTCATTTAAAAACAAACCAGCTAACCAACCTCAACATGAACCGGTTAAAAACCAAACCAGGCATGGCACAACCCCCCACAATTTCATAGAAATTATTAAACTCTTCTAAGTATTGAATAGGGGCAAAAGACTTCAGAGGCAAAATTTGTGATTTCATTAGATGGTGTCTTGTGAAAAAAGGTCCAAGGCATTCTGCACTAAAGGCTGGTGCGTCCGAGTAGGAAAAAGAGATTTGGCGAAACATTCTTTCTTGAACCAGGTTTTATTCCCATGTGATCCTGAACAGGCACTGAAATGTTAAGTGCCAGACAGCACCCTTGTTATTCCTGACAGAAGGATTACCCCCAAGCACCGGCACAATCCATTCAAACCTCTCCTGTCACACTCTCTGCAGACATTTGCAAATTCATCTTCACGATGGGCCTATCCTCTTCTCAGATATTAATGCTTAAGTTTTAAAATAACTTATTGGCAAATAGGATTTGTCAAGAAGGAGCTTGCACAAAGGCGGAGCAAGTTGTGAGATGTTGCTGAGAGGTGTCCAGCAAAGCTCCCACTGCCTTATCAAATGGGTTCAATCACTTAATCTCAGTCAATAAAACCGTACATAGGATTAGGAAATAACAAACACGAGGAGAGGGAACGAAACACAGAACATCTGATCTACAAACTCATCAAAACCAGAGAGCTGAGCTATTGTGTTCTCATAGCATCTGTTTCCTGTTATCTGGTGGCAAACAGGTAGCTTCATTCCGAAATACTCCTTCCCTCAGAGCTTGTTGGGTGAGCTGCAATGGGCAGAATTCAAATTGTAAAGCCAGCCAGGAAATTTTTTCATAGGTTTTCTTGCATACACCAGATAATAAATCCTACAGGAGTTGTGGAAAAGATGCCTGATGGTGATGATGGAACGTACTGTGGCTAGATTTGTAATTAATCAGGCATTTGTTGTGATACTCTCCCTGAAAACCTGCTGGGTTGTCTCCTCCCCAGCAAAGAAGCCACTTTCTGGACACATTTTTGGCTTAATTAACCAGAATTCCCTACAGGAATCAGTAGCCGGATGTGGCTCATAATTCTCGGGTTTAAGCCCCTCCAAAAGCTAAGTTTGGCCCCAAGCGCTGGCCACAGCTGGCCCGGCAGGTACCTGCGGAGGATCCTGGTGACCAGGAGCTTGACCCAGGCTGCGGAGGGGTTCAGGCAGACCATTTGTCCCTGCTTCATCGTGGCACTGCGGGCGAGACAGGGACGGGCTGAGGCCGGGGACGGGGCCGGGGTCGGGGCCGGGGTCGGGGTCGGGGTCGGGCACTTACATGACCTCGGGTACGGCACAGTGTGGCCCCTCGGCGAGGAACTCCAGGCGGGCCATGCGCCGCGGCGGGATCACCTCCGACACGGTCCGCAGGCAGCGGCAGCGCAGCTCCCCGGCCAGCGGAGCACCTGGCAGGCGGGAGGAGCTCTCTGAGCCTCGGCCCCGGAACCCCCCGACCCTCCTGGCCCCTCAGACACCCCTGCCGAGGCCCGGCGGCGGAAGGATGGGTGAGCCCGGCTCGGCCGCTTACCCTGGCATAGAGCGGCGGCGGCCAGGAGGAGGAGGATGCGGAGGTGCGGGTTCATGGCTGGTGCTGGCGGCGGAGAGGGTGCAGAAGCCGGCGGGACGGCTCCCTTTCCCTCCCGTGCTTTTATTCCCTACAGGGAGCTGCCGGGGAATTTCCCGGAGTGGAGCCGGCGGGCAGTGCTCCTTTGGCCCCTTTCCATCGGTGGGTGTGCGACTCTAAAGGAGCAGGGCGGAGAGAGAGGAGCGGCCGCTCCCGGCACAGGGGATCCTTCTGGGAGCGAGGGAAGCGTGGTACTGCTCCTTCCCGAGAATCGCCCAGGATCCGCTGGGACCCCATTCTCTGAAAGGAGCTGAGGCTTTTTTGTGAGGGCTCTCCGTTAGCTTTCGGGGTACAGGGCGTTGAGCCAAAGGGGAGTTTGGAATTTGGTTCTGGAGCTTGTCTTGCTGCCTGACCGTGTGCCGCCACACTCTCTTATTCAGTGGGCATTGCTCCCCTGAGCACCCCTTTCTTCACCCAGCTTTTGAAAACCGGAAATCTTTTTTTTTTTTTCTGCAACTAGGAGACCCTCAGGTTTCCATACCTACACTGCTCTACTGAAAGCCTTCTGTTCCACTCCTCTGCACACATAGGTCACTCTCTTTTTCTTCATTTCTGTCCAGGCATTTTGCTGAACTCTGTTATAAAGGAGCAAAATAGCAGTTTACTGTGAACTTTTAATGAACATGAGATGCAACTAAAGTTTAGAAAACTTTAGTTACATATAGGTTTAGATCAGTTATGGTCAGCACACTTTCTTTTGTATTAATTTTTAGTAAGAAATATAATATTTCACTTTATTTGTCTTGTTTTGGGGATTGTTTGGGGTTTTTGTAGCCGACCTGTTTTCCTCCTCAGATGTTTGTGAACATGAGTGGGATTCAGCACATTAATTTGTTCCAGGGTCAGGCTGCTGTGTCTCTTCCCTCATCTGCCTGAATGCAGATTAGATTAGATGTGCTGTCTCAAAACAAAACCAAACAGATAAGGTACAGCATGAAAAGCAGTCATGGCAAGGGATTAGGTAGATTGCAAGCTGAAAGGACATAAAGACTCTCCTTCCTGGGCTCCATCATCTACAGCTCAGCTGCTTCATGCAGCTGCTGGCTTAGTCCCTCAGATCAGCCCTGGGGGAGATTGCATGTCACAAGCAAATGGTGACTGCCCCATGTTATCAGGAAATACCTAATGACTAATCTGGACCCCTTTCCAGATGCAGCTTGGTAACAGCATCCTTGGAAGCAGTTGGCTTTTAACTTGGTCTTAAGAGGAAGTTACATGGTCAGTTTAGGGGCAGGCACTGGTTAGAGACCTTCACTGGGATCCCTTGAGATCATGGAGGTGGAATTACCATTCCCTCCGTGTTACAGCCACGCAAGTCTTGGACTGCACAATCCCCATATGGTGGTCCCAAGGAAGTGCCATGTTCCTGGCAGGAAGAAGGATCTGCCCAGCTGCAGCAAGCTGAGGCAATAAGCAGGTGGGATGATGCACAGATAATCTGCTCCAGGTCATTGCAGCTGTGGCTGGCAGATCCAGCTCTGAATGGATGTGGGGAGCAGATCACTCATTGTCACTCATGCACAGTCAGATCACACACTGTGCTTGGACAGTACACATGAGTAAGGACAGTTTACGTGACAGCTCCTGGCTTTATGCTTGCATGACTGCTCACTAGAACTGACCCATCAGACTCATTCCACAGCAGTTACTGCTGAGGAAATTCCACAGGTCTCCTGGGGCCTGGAGTGTGAGACTGTTTTTAGACATGGAGCAGCAATGTGTGAAACTCTGTGGCCAGCTCTCCCTCAGAGCCGTGTGCCAAGAAGAGCAGCAGCCAGGTCATGGACACCGTGCAGTGCATCAGATGGTGCAGAGCTTGGTCCTCTGAGTCAGTACTTGCACAAGCAGGCCTGGAACAAGGGAAATGGGAGTCTCTGGGACTATTTCAACATGCAAGACCATCTGCCTGGGCAAGGCTTTGTACCTGCAGACTTGATATTGCACCTAGCTCCCTTCTGTGGGAATGTGAGTGAGGTCTCTTTGGTCCAGATGACAGCAACAGCAAGGCTGACCTGGGGAGGAACTCTCTTGAATTGCACCCTTTTCCCTGTCTCCCTTCACCACCTTTGTCAAAATTCCTTTAGCAAGTATGGAAAAGACAGGGAGCAGACAGCATCACTTTGGACAGCTGAGTTTTTCCCTGCCCACCGCCCTATCTCTTTCATTATGGAAAAGTTTGCCATGCACTGGGTGCAGGTGGTACAGATTCCAGTCATGGAATGGGTTGGATTGGAAGGGGACCTTGAAGATCCTCTTGAACTAAATTAAAATTAGTTATTGTGAGTGGTGGTGTCAGTGTAGCCGGGACAGAACTGACCACAGTGTTTGTATTTGCCTCACTCAAGTTCCCATTCAAGTCACCCACGTCTTTAGCAGAAGCTGCTGTGTGAAGATAGACCAGGATTCTGTGATTCTGTCAAATCTCTGTGTCCTTAGCGTGGGTCTTGGGGTTACTGGGACACAGAAAGCAGTCCCAGCTCAGGCAGGCCCTGAGTAGGTACATGAAGAGAATAAACCCATGGCTCTGTCACCTTCAAGTTATCCAGTCCTTAATTCATCACTTGCAGGAAGTGATTTGGCTCCTTTGTTGCAGACTCTGGCTGTGTGCCTTTCCACAGCAGGTATTTATTTGGCTTGGCACCTGTAGTGGGAGCCATTCACTGGCAGCAGGCCGAGGAGAGCTACAAGATAATTAAACAAGGGATGTCTCACTTCAACAAGTGAGGACTTCTCTTACGTGCATGAGAATTACTTTGGAGCATGTGTCCCAGACACAAATGTAAGGTGAACTTTTATCATGGCCTAGAAACCATTTAACATGGCCAGTCTCTGAAGGAGCAGTATTATTTCCTCCAGAGTTTTGATAAGGAACAATTTGTGTTCTGATCTGTAAAATGTCAAGTCACTGCTACCTAGTACTGTCTAAAGTCAGAGGGTATATACTGCTGATATCCTCTCATCTTCACTATCTTCACTATGTCTTATATATGTTGGTTTTTTTTTACCTATACCACTATGTTTCATAGTATTCCCTGGCTATGATGAGTTGATGTGAATCCTCCTGTGGATCCAGCTCTATCATGAAGTTCAAACATATTTGCTGGAGGCAGTAACCAGATTTCAAGCTACAGTTTTGTGCAAAGTACGTTTTGTATCTATCAGATGTTTTATTTCCTTCAATTTCCCTGTGTGTTTCTCAAGGTTTGAAATGTTTCCAGCCCGTATGCCCTTGAAAATAATACCAGAAGATGTAAGAAGTGTCCTGTTGTTCAGCTTGTGTCATGGAGAATCCCCACTCCGTTTTGCCAGCTGTATCGTGACACACCTCTGTGTGTGCTGTGTGCTCATTTCTCTAATACCTTTTGAGATGTGAAAATTCACATTTAAAATAATGATCTATAGCAAATGGTGCTCAGTATCTTCCTGCCTGCCTTCCTGCACCTTCAGCTAACTTGAACATTCAGGAACCCTTAGGTCTTTTTGTTTCCCTTCCACAGGGTTAGAAGTTCTTCACCTGTGCCCACTGCTGGGAATCAGAGCGTGAACGCACACGCACACTGTTGATAGATAAAAGGAATGTGTTTGTATTACTCAGGCATTACCTTGGCAAATAGAATGGCTTGGCTCTGAAATCCATGTGTTTGGCCATCATTTCTCTGTTTTTCAGTTTCAGGTGCCAGCTTACCTTTTCTGAGATCATTGATGGCACTGCAGGGACTGTAGTTTCAGTCACCTTGCTTAGTGGGACTCCTGGACATATAATTCCCAAAAAGTGAGTAGCTGGTGGTGGACTCATTGCTTCTGGTATTTTACACCTAACATATAAGGACAGGAGGGGCTTTATTTTGAGTTTGGAACCCAATTGTTTAAGCAATTTGTTCTTGCCTCTGCTGAGGAGGAAGAATCTTGAGGCTTTTTAGTGGCAGGCATGATCCCGGACAAAGATTACGACGGTGTGACTCCTTCCACCCCCACACAGTTGTTCAGTTGATAATCATTTGAGGTCATCACAGCTTCTAAAAGGCAGGAAGAGCTCCTCCTGAACTTAGCAGCAGCAGAAAATACTCTTCATCCTATGAACTGCCTGCAGGCTTTTGCCCTTGGATCTGTGTGACTTTCAGGAGCACCCCTTTACTCAGCACACTGAGGGATTGCTTGCTCTGGGCTCTTAGGTCCTGCAGACAGGTTTTGTGCTTGCTGGGGCACATCCTGGTTGTATGGTTTGCACATGAGTTCAGGTATAACTGTATTGAATTCTGGTTTTGACATCTGACAGCAGGACTTAAACCTTTCCAGAGGGTCGCACAGATTTGATACAGTGTAATCTATCCATTTTACATTTATTTACACTTATTTACAGCGTATCCTCTAACAGCTAACTGTTGCTCCCGTGGTATTACCCAAGCATGGGAGAAGTGAAATAGAATCACTGATACGCTGCCAGCAGTGGATAGAAATACCTGGGCCTCCCAGGGAACATGACCAAGAGATTGATTTTAAAAAACAGGGGGTTTTTTTTCAGTTTGAAAATGTAAATCCATGTTTTCAGTTCAAGCTGAACAGCTCATATGCAGTAAAATACAGTTCCCCTACCAGGACATCGTTAACTATGGTGAAGCCTTTATTTCCCATGGGGACCCCTCAAAGAAGCTGTGCAAACAAATTCCTCCCATCCTTATGCTTTTAGCCTGATAGAAAAAGATTTCAGTCAACTTGGAAATAAGCTGCTTGGAAATAAATACATAATTTTTTATTTTTTTTTTCCATCTGCAGATAGTTGGAAGTAAAGAAAATATGAGTCTCTTATAAAAGGAACTATTCATCCCCCCAAAAAACCTAGTCCGAGGCCCTAAAATCAGCATTCCCCCCAACATGGCTTAAGGCAATTTCAGTTTTCAGACTCAATGGAGTTGAGTAATTTTTGGGAGTGTGCTTTGGATAGTTGTGGTCTTTTGGTTAAAGCGATGGCATCACT